GCCCATAAAATGTTATCATGACTGAATTTACTGGAGCTAGTTTGTTTGTTTAAAAGAAAGAAATCAATTTCAGGCTTGTGGATTTTTTACGGACCAAACTTCTGTAAGAATTTAAATCATAGTCAAAACAGATCTGTAAAAGAGTTTAAATGGCCCAAAGGGGAATCCTCAAGTATGACCAGATTTCCCTCTTTTTGTCTCTGACTGTGCGAGACTGTTGTTTTTAACTTTTAAGTATAGATTTAGAGATTTATCTGTAACTCACAGTAAGAAAAGCAAACCAACAAAACCTGATAAAGGCAGAAGCAATTCCTGAAGTCCTCAATTTGAAGTTTCAGAGTGGAACTTTGGGTTTTGTCCATTTTTTTCTCCCTGTGGAAATTATGGTACCTTTAAATCCTTTTTTTTAGCCCTGGTTCTGCATATTTAAGGTGTCCTGGTGAAGAATCTCATCCTGCTTTCTCACTCATCACATCATACCTGTCAGAAAATCAGCATCTACAGGCGTTAAAAAAATGACTGTATAAAAGCAGCCTCTGTTGTCAATGGCAGTCTTCAGTAGACTAATGTAAACTTCTCTCTGCATTAGCTTTAAAAAGTTGATTTACTGAGGGAGTTTGGTGGCTGTAGAGAACAATGTGACTGCTCTTTTTGATGTAGTTTGATCCGTTTCATTGGCTCTCTAGGGTCGTGTTGCAGCTCATTTTGTGGCTACAAACTGAAGGGCTCTACTGGAGCAACTCTCTGAATCTATCTGTCATTCAGAGGCTACAATTTGTGAAACTACGGCCCTGGTATGAATGTTCTGGAAATCCCCTTTAAAGTCTGATCCAGCTCATGCAGAGGTTTCCTGCTATTGTGGCTTTAGAGGGCCGACCCCCCCTGTTTTCATTAGTCTGTAATAAGCAGAATATCTACGCGTGAACTGAAACAGTGAGGGTTCAATCTGAGCTGCATCACAAAGCCTCTCTTCTCCTCTTCTCCATCTGAAAATGACTCCGGGATGTGCGGTGAGCCGGGAGGAAACTCCCTTCACCACAGCCCTGCTATCTCTGTGGGAGTTCATTATACACACAGACTGGCCACACACAGACATGAATGCACACACAAGCACACACACTCATCCATAAGCTTAACACTAGAAACACCAAGGGGATAATTTTTACCCCCTGCCGTTTTCAAATGCTTGTATTTCTGTTAAAATAAAACCCCTTCACCTTAAAGTCCATGACTTTTCCTAAGAATGGATTTATTAATCATTCAGCGAATTTTGGTGAGTGTGTGATAAAAATTGTCATAACCTAGAACTGCCAAGGAGTCATTTTTACCCCTCATATAAAACACTGTATACAGCTGTCACTTAATGCAGAGTGTCACTCCCGGTTGCATGGCAGCGCTCATAGTTTTTCTCATAGCTCATAGTTATTATAGAGAAATTAAAATTTCACATTGTAGTATGAAAAAATATAATAGTAAACTATGATCAAAATTTCTAATTATGGTTTGAAAAAAAAATTCATAGTATAGTATGATCAAAATAACTTATCACAACAAACTATGGGATATTTCATCATACTAAACTATTTCATCTTTATCATACTATACTATGAATTTTTTTTATACTGAAAATCGAATTTTTTATCACACTATCCTATGACATTTTTTTTTATCAAACTATACTATGACTTTTTTTCAAACTAAAAATTAAAATTTTTATCAAAGAATACTATGACCTTTTTTATCATACTATACTATGACATTTTTTCGTATTAAAATGTGAAATTTTTATCACAACATACTATGAGATTTTTCATCATGGTATACTATGATAATATCATACTATACAATGGCTTTTTTCATTCTAAATTTAAAAACTTTGATCATTCTATACTATGACATTTTTTCATACTAAAATGGGAAAGTTTAATCGCAACATGGTATGAGTTTTTTCCTCATACTATACTGACATTTTTTTCATACTATAAAAGATTTTCATACTGAAAATCTAAATTTTTATCATACTATACTATGACTTTTTTTGATCAAAATATACTATGATTTTTTTTTTAAACTAAAATTTGAAATTTTGATCATAGTATACTATGACATTTTTTATCATACTATACAATGACCTTTTTTCATATTAAAATGTGAAATTTTAAACACAACATACTATGAGATTTTTCATCATACTGTACTATGACATTTTTTATCATACTATACTATGATATTTTTTCATATTAAAATGTGAAATTTTAAACACAACATACTATGAGATTTTTCATCATACTATACTATGACATTTTTTATCATTCTTTACTATAAAAATATTTTAATACTAAAAATTTAATTTTAATCATGGTATACTATGGCCTTTTTTTATCATACTATACTATGACTTTTTTTCAAACCAAATTTGAAATTTTTATCATAGTATACTATGACCTTTTTTATCATACTATACTATGACTTTTTTATATTAAAATGTGAAATTTTTATCACAACATACTATGAGATTCTCATCATACTATACTCTGACATTTTTTCAAATCAAATTTGAAATTTTTATCATAGTATACTATGACATTTTTTATCATACTATACTATGACATTTTTTTCATACTATACAATAAAATTTTTTCATACTCAAAATCAAATTTTTTATCATACTTTATGACTTTTTTTTATCAAAATATACTATGATTTTTTTCAAACTAAAATTTGTATTTTGATCATAGTATATTATGACATTTTTTATCATACTATACTATGACCTTTTTTCATACCTTAAATGTGAAATTTTAATCACAACATACTATGAGATTTTACCTCATACTATACTATGACATTTTGTTCATACTATACTATAACATTTTTTCATACTGAAAATCAAAATTTTTATCATACTATACTATGACTTTTTTTGATCGAAATATACTATGATTTTTTTTTCAAACTAAATTTGAAATTTTGATCATAGTATACTATAAAATTTTTCATCATACTATACTATGACATTTTTTCATACCTAAAATGTGACATTTTAACACAACATACTATGAGATTTTTCATCATACTATACTATGACATTTTTATCACACTAAAAAATGTGGTACTGAAAAATTTTGGTACTGAAAATAAAAATGTTATCATTGTATACTATGACCTTTTTTATGATACTATACTATGATTTTTTTTCAAACTAAAATTTGAAATTTTTATCATAGTATACTTTGACATTTTTTATCATACTATACTGTGACTTTTTTTTATCATACTTTACTACAAAAAGATTTTAATACTAAAAATTAAAATTTTATGACTTTTTTTTCAAACTAAAATTTGAAATTTTTATCATAATATACTAAGACATTTTTCATCATACTATACTATGACATTTTTTCATACCTAAAATGTGAAATTTTAAACACAACATTCTATGAGATTTTTTATCATACTATACTATGACATTTTTTTATCACACTTTACTATAAAAAAATTTTAATACTAAAAATTAAAATTTTATCATTGTATACTACGGCCTTTTTTTATCATACTATACTATGACTTTTTTCAAATCAAATTTGAAATTATTATCACAACATACTATGACATTTTCATCATGGTATACTATGACATTATTAATCTATACTATGGCTTTTTTAATACTAAATTTTAACATTTTTTATCATACTATACTATGAAATTTTTTTCATACTAAAATGTGAAATTTTAATCACAACATACTTTGAGATTTGTCCTCATTCTGTACTGACATTTTTTTATACTATACTATGAAACTTTTTCATACTGAAAATTGAAATTTTTATCATAGTACAAAAAGACATTTTTTTATCATACTATACCTTGACATATTATCATTCTATATTATCACAGTATTCTATGAAATTTTTTCATACTAGAAATTGAAATTGTTATTGTCCTGATACCCTTTAGAAATGACACTGTAGCAGCACTGACGCTATTGGAGCTAGGGGGTCAAAATGACCCTCCTTTGCAGTTCTAGGGGAATTGAATGTTGGTGGTTCTAGTGATAAGCACATATTATTTGCACAGTCTGTTCACATGCAATTTCTCTTGTGGGGGATTATTACACACACAAACACACACAGCGGAGGACACATGTCTGCAGCGTCACCACACATTAAACTAACCAGTATGAATTTGTTTCTGTGGACATCCCCTGCCCCACCCAGGCAGACAGACTCCCACCCACAGACCTCCACCCACGAGGTGTGGGGTGTGTAAGTGACTGAGCCACTTGTGTTCAGCAGGGAGAGTTAAACAGACAGAGGAGTAAAGCCACAGAGAGGTCACAGGGTCACGATGTGTTACAGGATAAACACGTGGAGCGCACATCTACTGTGGGACATCTGCTGTGGGACATAATGCATCTTTGCAAAACCTTTAAAGCTGCAATAATCAATAATTTTATACAGATAAAAACCTCCAGGTGATCACTACTTACTCTCTGATTTTGTCATTATAATCTTTTGACAATGACCCAGACAGTCATTTTTTTGACTGTCTACATTTTCCCCTAACATTTTAATCTATTGAGATGCACCTGCTTGTCTCTGTACGTACCAGTGTTTGTTTGTTTTTTAATATTACAAAGGACACTATTCAGAGCCAATATAAGCTATCAGACATATGAGTAAAAGTGTCTAAGTTCATGACAGATATTTATGTCCACATCTGAAACACTGTGCACAAAGGAGGAGTTAAAAAAGGACAATTGCAGCCCAAACTGTAGTTACAATAAAAGAAAGTAATACTAAGAAAAGCAGATCAAGACCACATCCTAATCTTAGGACCTAATATGTGGCCTGGCAGGCTGAATTCAGGGTAAGAAACCTCTGATCACTTCTTTCAACACTTATTGCAGCTTTATCTCTTTAAAGGTCTGTTTTCCCCTACATGTGGCAATCAACTAAACTTTGGCTCCCTCTGTGGGTGACTTTTGGTATGACATCTTATCAGAATTTGTAGAAATCTTTATTTAAGTCAGTCAAAAGTACATTTCCCCCTAAAACACTCAGTAAAAATGGCCAAATATTTCACATTTAAGGCCATGAAGAATTTCTCATAAACTTTAGAGGCAGCTTTGCAGTTGACAGAAAAAAAAACTTGAGAGAAGGAGAGTCTTAAAACCACGTTTAAAAACCACGAGGAGGCTGATACTTCCAGGTCCCTTTCAGTCGTTTGAGGAGGGAGTCAGAGGTGATGGATGATGTGCAAATTGTCTCCATTTCTCCAGATTAACAAAACTTCACTGTTTTATTCAAGAGGTCAACTCCTGTCACAGTGAAAAAGGGAAACTCTACATCAACAGTGACAGTTTTCCCGTCACAGTCAGAGGCAACATAAATTAGGAAAACTGAAACACAAACAAACACATGAGATTTGATCTTTCCTATTTACAAAATCTTCATGAGCATGAATCTGACCAGAGGAAATTAACCGTTTCTTCAACAGGTGGGGCTGATACATTCATAAAATCAAATACAGAGGAGAAAATAGAGCTTCTCTGCTCTTCTTGCACAGGTTTAAAGTTGTTCTTGAGTTTCAAAGATGGTTTTCCAGATGTCCAGTTTGTCAGCAGCTTTAGCAGACGTTGGGGAGTCAGAGTGTCCTCTTCTCTCAGAAAGAAAAAAGTGAATCCAAAATTTTTCCAAATAAAACATAAAGGCCTTGTTTCCATGTAGCGCAAAGAAAAAGAGGACCGAATGACATGGCATCTTTTTCATTTGTTCACTTTAAATAAAACTAATGTGTTAAATGTGCCTCTGCTGTCAACCTGCAGAACATTTAAAAATAAAAACTAAGATCTGAGCCATCCTGAGAACAACCTGAAAATAATAAATACACCCTGGCCCTCATGTGGATTCAGCATGTGTGTATGAGTGTGTGTGTGTGTTTGTGTGAGTGTATGTGGCAGATAACTCAGTCCAGGCTGTGTCTGTTGGTGTGTTAATATCCTTGTAGTCCATTGTAAACTTTCTGTACAGATCCCTGCTTCAGAAGACCCCGGATACCTGCAAAAACCAGGAAGAAATCAATTAACAACAGCATCATTCAGTACAGAATAACAGTGTTGGATAATGATCCAAAGATGTCTCCAAAATAAATACAAAAATTAACTCATGGACAAACCAAAAATACAAGAACTTGAACAGTAAAACAGAAAAAATGTTGTAAAACTGTGTCGTTTTCAGCCAGGCCCCCGTGATGCATGATAAATATGATCCTCCGTCTTTCTTGTAAACAAAACTGTAGACTGGCGGTTAATGTCTGACCAATCGGCAGAGGAAAGAAACATGCAGGAGCTTATGAGGGATGTTAAATTTTCACAAGAACCTGAGTGAAAGTGACATCAACCAAATTGAAGAAAACAGTCACAACCTACAACCACTAACCGTCACACAGTATGAGCTTTGGCTGTGTTAAAAGACTGTTTCTAATACAGGTGCTGTTATTTAAAACACCAATAGGAGAATTGAGATCAATACTTCATGACAACTTGATGTGATTGGTGAAACACCTAGTTGTCACTGTATAGTTTTCAACCCTGTAAAAATGAGCTGAGATTTCCTGGTTGGGTAGATATTAGGTCTTTGTCGTTTGGATTCTCCCTTAACCTCCTCTCCACTCTCACCATCTTTCTGCTGGTCGTCCAGCTGTGTCTGAGGAAACTCCACGTCGAAGGTGATGATGAGGGAACCTCTAATGTTGATGTTGTCGAAGTTTGGCAGACCCTCTCCTTTCTTCCACATGCGAGCACCGGGCTTAGTGACCTTATCTCTCTCTATATGGACCTGTAAGACAGAGGCACGTGTTCAAACTAACTCTACAGACTCTGTTACACACTGCTCTACCTTGAAAAGGACTTTGAGCAGCCTGAAAAAACAAAATACAGTGAACCGGGACAGCTCTGTAGGAGAAAAAGCACCTTATGTCCGTCCAAATGTACGATGTCCATCTTAAAGCCAACAAGCGCCTCCACCAGGGAGATGGTGACGTTTGTGTACAGGTCGTCTCCTCTGCGCTCAAACACAGGATGTCTGAAAAATATCAAAGAAAAAGTTCCAATATTCCATCTAAAAAAATTACAAAATTATTTCTGTACTGTTTTCACAAAAATAAATCATTTTTCATACTTTAAAACTTTGATTCTGAACCGTAGATCTCCAGGTTCTCCATCGATGTGAGGCTCTCCTGTGATCGCACAAAAATAGACGTTAACAAAATGAGTTTTTAAAATCAGAGTTAAAATGATTTGTTTTCATCTTTAGGCAGATTTACCTTCTCCAATGAAAGGGTACTCCATCTCGTCTCTCACTCCCTGTTCAATTTCTACCTCCAGAGTTCTTTCTTCGTTTACCAATCTGAGGGGAAAATTAACCTGTTAGATGAAGTTTGTACGGTGACTGTGCAGAGATTATCAGGATCTGTTCATCCAAAGTATTATGTGTCTGTGTTCTGATAGAAAACCTGAGGTGGGTGCAGCTAAAACTCTTTTAATATGGCTTAGTCAGGTGAAAACAGCTCTCAGTGGTTTTATTTTTGGTATTTTTAGAATCCTTAAACGTCACAAACAACATCTGTTCAGTCTGAGCTTAGAGCTGCTGTTTTTTCCAAGACTAGACTGACTGGATTACAGATTTCTACAGAGCCTAAATTTGGGGCAGGATTAACAGAGAAACTGTTTATCTATAAAACTGTTCAGAAAGTCATTCTTTTAAATCAAGACCTTTTCTGAGAGTCAGAGGAGAAGAGTCAGACCAGTTCTGTAAAGTTCTGAGTATAAGGATCAAAATCAAGGAGGAGGTCGATCTAGACAGAGTCAAATACAGACAGATCACCCACACTGGAAGCACCTAAAAGTGCTGCAGAGGTGAGAAGATAAGCAAACAAACCTTAACCTGCTCCTTCTATATAAATATTTGTATAGCTCCTTCTTTGCCTTAAATGTCTGTTTTGAGTGAAAATTTCTACACTCTGCTACAAACACCAGCCACATGATTGAGTAAAGGTGTCCGCTCTGTCCTCAGTGCTGCCCATATGGTGTTTATCTCAGATCTGTGACTTACTTCACATTAGGACACTCGTCACACACCATCTCCTGAGTCATCTGGAAGCGTCCGGGTCCGAGCTGTGTAGTCCTCATCTCCTGTCTGCAGTTACATTTCCTCTTTCCGGGAGCTTCTTTGGCTATGGGCTTGTTACGAACAACCTGAGTGACACGGAAGGTTGAAAAGTTTAACACTTGAATTATCTAAAGAACTTAAAAAGTTCCAGATGTTATTTAAGAGAGTAGTATTTTCTCCTCACCTCCACAAAGTTCCCAGAGTACACCTCTTCAAGCGTAACCTCCAGGTCTAATATGATGTCATTTCCTCTGGGGATATTTCTGTCCTGCTGCTGTCTGTTTCCACCAAACATAAACCCGAAGTCACCAAAGAAGCTGCAGAGAGAAAACAGACAGAGAGAAAGATGTCAGATGACGTCAGCTTTGACACGACAGCTTTGTCTGTCTGAGCTCATGAAACGTACCTGGAGAAGATATCGTTGTGTGAGCTGTGGTGACCTTCTTTGAGTCCATCTTCTCCATATGCGTCGTACTGTTTCCTTTTTTCCTCATCTGACAGAACCTAAAAATACACAACATGTCAGTCACAGGACCAATAATAAACACCTTTATCCATACAATGTGATCTAATGTATCAATGTGTAACAAAACAACACTTTTGTGACACAGTTTTAACAGAAGATCACTTGTAAGAGTAATAACAGCTCAAAAGAACAGCAGAGAATCTTCCCATACTGTCAGTCAGCTGTGTCTATATAGACTTTGGGGAAATTAATATGTGTCCTGTTTGTCAAGTCAATAGAAAGCTGAAGGATGTAGAGGAGCAAAAAGACAAATAACCTCTAATTAGACAAAAAAAAAGCAAAAAAAAACAATAAACTCAGGAGCGTCATCTGGACTGAAGTATAACTGAATATGTTTCCTGCTCCTTGTTTATAAAATCACACTAATATCGCTGTTATCTGTAAGGTTAATGTGAATATTTGATAAGAAAACACCTGCCTATGTAAATCCACCGCCAAACGCTCCACGTCGTGTTTTTCTGTTCGCCAGCTGCGCTGCACAGCAGCCAATCAGAAGCAGACACACAGTCCAGCCAACCAATCAGAGTAGAGGATCCGTTTCCAACATCAACCAAATAGCCAAAATACAAAAGACTTTTGTTTCACTGCCCTCAAGCACTTAAGTCTAAAATTACTCATCTATTCAAGATCTACAACACAGTTCCTTGTTAGTTTTGATGTCAAATAAGTTCACCGAGCCTCTCTTAAGCTGTAAATGACAGGAAATCTTAACAAAACTCGACACTCACCTCATAAGCTGCCCCCAAGTCCGCAAATTTATCCTGAGCTTTGGGGTCGTCCTGGTTTCTGTCGGGATGTAACTGGAGAGCAAGCTTTCTGTAGGCCTTCTTTATGTCCCTTATTGATGCACTTTTGCTCACCCCCAAGATCTTATAGAAATCTCGCCTGTAAGATCAAAAAAAGGAAAGAATATGTGTCACTATTAGTGGAAGAGTGATTCACGGGAAGAAGCAGGTGTTCCGGTGTTAAGAGTGACCCTTTTTTCTGACGACTCTCTCGATATCGTTTACCAGTGTATGTCGAATACTTCCGCAAATGTCATTCATTTTTAAAACTCGAAGGGTAAATTTTGTTCCATTGTGATAAGAAAAATGAACAAGGACACATTACCGTGTAGTCTTCTCAAGTTTCACCTGCTGTTGTAACTACGACAACCGCTGACACATTTGGCTTTATGCCTCAAATAACAGGGTCACTCTTTTAACCAAAACACCAATGCAGGAGCTAACGCTAGCTGCCAAACCGGCTGAGCTAGCCGGCAGATCCTGCTTCAATCGCACTTTTCTTGAATAAATCTGTTTATCACTTGGAATAAGCAGTTGGAAAGTGTTAAATTTCTCTTTTATGCTCTTAATGTAGTGATTAAAAGTCTAACGGTTGGACAGGGCTGTTTGATCACCATTACCGTAAATCTCATATAAATAGCGCACAAGGAACACAATTACCGATATAACGCTGTTCTAAGCATTGCCAGGCGAATGGTAGCTCAGGCATTTACATTTTAAACACTAACAGACAGTTAGATTATATGTCTGGTGCCTGTCAGTCTTCCCCAATCTTCTCCACACATGTAGTAAAGCTCTGGACCAATCACAGAGGAACATGTGTACCACCTGGCGATGCTGTTTCACTGCTCTGTGAGTGCTGCTGTCCCAGAAAAGCTTACTTACCCCGCAAGCACCGCCGTGATCACGTAGAGGAGCAGGCAGCACACATTGCACAGATTCATCCCTTTGGCAGCCATAGATCCTAGTGTTTGTGAAAGGAGGGAGAGGAAAGAAAAGCCGGCTCTCAGGGCTGGATGCCACTGCCAGTCACAAACCTTCTTCCTCCTGTCAGAGAACGCCCGCCCACTCGATGACGACAGTTCCGGTTTTCAGTACAAACCCCGCCCACTTTAAAAGAAACAGCCTATATTTTATACCGCTGACTTTTTGAATTTGTACAACTCACCCACTCTCCTCCAGCAGCCGCTTGTTTGTACAGAGACCTCCGGGCGAGCCCATTGACTGCAGCGGGGTGATGCAGCTCAAGGAAGAATATTTATGATCATTACTTTATCATTTCCTTGAAGTAATAATCATCATATTAATTATTTTGCACTGCAGACACGATAGTTCTTCTGCCTTAGTGTCTCTGACTGATTACATTTCCATGAAGTAATGATCAATGATCAAGCGGCTGCTGGAAGAGAGTAGGTGAGTTGTGTTTAGTCTCTTTGTTAAAGAAATCAGACAAAGTTAAAAAGATGTTTGGTGGCTAGTACTATGGCTGGGACCTTCTCTGTACTGTTGATGAAGTTAGGTGCTGTTCTGAGCATTATTTGTGGCTATAGAGTGGCGTTTTTGGTTGAGCGCGTGGCTCTCTGTATTGCTATCGTGTGGTCGTTACTAAAGTTGGTATAACTAGAGAAGCAAGCGGTCTGCAACATTCATCTCTCGACAGGGTGTTACAGTGTGTTTGACCCTAACTTAATTTCACACTGGAATATCCCTTTAAAGTTCCTGTAATAAATATTTACCTTTATGGAAGAGCTGGATGAGAATTTGTCAGAAGATGCAATTTAGGGATGTAGAGGACAAGAGAGGCAAAATCAACCAAAAATCGACTAACAAGGAGCTTTAAAGTTCGAAAGTCTTTCCAGTGAAGTTCTCAAAGTTTTTTAAAATGTTTTCATCAAAAATTTCTGAAAGTTTCTCAAAGATTTCTAAACAACCATTCTGAGTGTTTTGTGATACAAACATCTCTGACATTAAGCCCAACCTGACTTACCAAAATTAAACAATAACCTTTCCACTAACTTTTTTGCTCATCTTCTCGCCGTCGTCTTTTGTGCCTAGATTGTAAAACACGGTGCATCATCAAAATTGGTCCCTGGCAGCTCATTTTCGCAGTAGGTACCTTTTTTTTTTTGCATTGCCACATTTTTTGCGTCATTAACTTCCGTTGTGGCTTTTAATTTTTTTTTTTTATCTGCACCGCTTCCGCTTCTTTTTTTATTTACAGCAGGCTTCGGTTTCTTTCTTTTTTTTTTTTTTATCCGTACTTTCCGTTGTGGCTTCTGTTTATTGCATTCTTTTTTATTTGCATCCTTTTATTTTCGCAGTAAGTAACTTTTTTTTTTTTTTGCACCTCCACATTTTTTTGCATCATTAACTTTCGTTGTTGCTTTTAATTTTATTATTATTTTTTTTTTATCTGCACTGCCTCTTTTTTTTATTTGCAGCAGGCTTCAGTTTCTTTCTTTTTTTTCATTAGTACCTTCCATTGTGGCTTGTTTTTATTGCATTCTTTTTTTATTTGCAGCAGTAGCGGTTCTGGGCCACCGTACAAATGCTACCATAATTCCTTAAAACGCTCAGAGAAACTTGATTTGCCCATTAATGGTCAAAATGAACTCCAACCTCAGGCGCGCTCCCGCGGGCTGCGCGCCTCTGATGACAGTTGTGATGGAGAGGAGGGCGCCAAATAGGAAGCGCAGCAGAGCGTCTCGGTCCTGGGTCTGCCTCTAATCACAACAACCTACATCGACAGCATGAAGCCCGTCCTTATTCTCCCATATGAGTGAGCCGACACATCAAGAAGGAGCATTTCGTTTTCAGAGGAGGAAGAAAGCTCAAAGTGAGTGCCAATACGTTTATCTTCCCCCGTCTTTCATTTGCTTTGCTAGCATTTGGAGCTAACAGAGGCTAAGTGACCTGGCGAACTCAAACTAGTTTGGTGAAGTTGTCTGTGAGAGAAAAAAGACCTGTTCAATCTGTCTTTGAGTCGTAACGCTGCGTCTTGACATTGAGATCCAACAAGAAGTGAGTGTTGTGCGTATTTAGTCGTTGTCTGATAGGATTAGGTGTAGCTTAGAGTCTGCATTGTTAGCCTGCCAAACTTGATATCATGATGCCAAGTCAGGTGTTGATGACATGAGCAGTCTGGCTGCTTGTTGTCATGGAAGCTTCATGAGGGCATTATAGGAGGTACAACTCCACCACTGCTGATCATCGACGTGATCATGTTTAAGACCTTTCAGTTATTTCCACATCTGTGCACCTTCATTATCAAACTCAACAGATTTGTTATATTTCAAGTTAAACACTAACTTAGTTTTTCATTGCAGGGGACGAAAAGTCAGTGTTTCTTTGCGTTGCTCCTCCTCTTTAATTCTTGAATAATAGTTGCATCAAAACAGAGATGTTTCTGATTAAATCTTACTCCAATAAAAGTGGCAGAAATCTCAAATTAAAATGCTGTTATGAAATGGTGATATGGATCCATGTGTCACTAATTGAATTCTATCCTTGATAACTGACATTTCTTTTAGTTAGCCTACTTATCCTGCAGTTTTCTGTCTAAATTAAAGGGATATTCTGGTGTAAATTAAGTTAGGGTCAAACACACAGTAACACCGAGTTAGAAACCCAGTCGAGAGATGAATGAACATTTATGATCATTATTTTATCATTTCCTTTAAGTAATAATCACCGTTTTAATCATTTTGCACTGTAGAAGAGGTAGTTCTTCTACCTTAGTGTCTCGGTCTGATTGCATTACCATGAAAAAAATGATCATGAATGTTCTTCCTTGAGCTGCGACGCCCCGCTGTAGTCGATGGGCTCGCCCGGAGGTCTCCGTACAAACAAGCGGCTGCTGGAAGAGAGTAGGTGAGTTGTGCTAAAGAAATCAGACAAAGTTAAAAAGATGTTTGGTGGCTAGTACTGTGGCTGGTACCCTATATGTACTGTTGATGAAGTTAGGCGCTGTTTTAAGCATTATTTGTGGCTATAGAGTGGTGTTTTGGTTGAGCGTATGTCTCTCTGTATTGCTATCGTGCGGTCGTTTCTAAAGCAGCCGGCAACATTCATCTCTCAACGATGTGTTTGACCTTAACCTAATTTTATGCCGGAATATCCCTTTAAGGGTCTCTTTTTGACTTTATGCTCTGCAGACATGGAGGCAGATGGTGTGAGCATATGGCCGCGCATGGAGCCCTTCTTACTGGGTGCCTTGCAGGTAAAATATTCTTTATATCTATCAATTGTACACCATTTTCCAGCAGAAGCAAATGTTAAAACTAGACTTTAATGACTCAACAGGTGGCTCCACCCTCCAAGCTCAGCCTGCACTATCTGCGCAAGATGGCGACCTACGTTCGAACGAGGGACGGCTGTTTCCCCATTTTGAGCTGGTGCATGTGGAGACACATTGCCTGTGGAAAACTTCAGCTCCCAGAAGACCTTGCATGGCTGTACTTTGAGACCTTTGACCTTCTTATAGGCCACAGTCCGGAGGAGAGGCTGGAGTGGGCTGAGTGTCTCTCCCAGTGCTCTTCAAAAAGTGAGCTGGACCATCAAAGGACGAAGGTGAACACAAAAACAGGAAAGGGTGGAGCATGTGTGCAAGTGACTCAATAAACTTAGCAATGTAATCCTATCTCTTTTCATGAGGTTATGCTGCTTATTGTAAGGTTGTGTTTTGCCTGAGGCAGAGGTTTGTGTTGTTGTAACTCTTCTCTACAGATTGACTTGCTCCTTCTTTTCTTACTCCAGCTGTCTGTGGACACACTGCAGTTCCTCCTCTTCCTCTACATCCAGCAGCTGAACCGTGTGTCTCTGCGCACCTCCCTGATCGGCGAAGAGTGGCCAAGTCATCGCACTCGCTCCCCGTCTCCGTCGGATCGAGAGGCCAAAACCAGCTCTCAGAACAAGGTCCCTGCCCAAAAAGACACTGACATCTGAGACTGCAATCATCTTTTGTTCTTTTGTGTCACCTTTTAAAATGCAGGTGTCACTTGTCATCTCTCTTCTTTTAAATCTGACACTTGTCTTCCTTTTTGTGTCTCCTGGGGTCAGCAGAACTGGGACGATCAGGCTCACCTATCATTTGTTCAAAGCCACTTAGCGGAGATCCTGGAGCTGCTGGTGGAGCCGGGTCAGCTGTCACAGTCTGGACAAGCCCTTCGAGACTGTCAGGTCTGTGAGCACAGATTTCTACAGCATCAAAGTTAAAGAAACTGCAACAAAACACTTCATCGAAACTGTATCACATGAGATATTTGTATAGATCCACAATAATCTGTTTTTGAACCCCTTGCTTTATAAGAGCTTTAAGTAGCATCAGCCTGTATATGCACACTTTCACAGTTTTAACAGCAAACTACACCCAAGGCCACACTGAGCTGCATTTTTAAAGGACTAAAAGCTAAAAAACACTCCACTGAACTCTGCATGCTCAGCAGCAGACAGCTAGAAACTACATGTGATCATAGTGGAGCATTAAGCTGCTAAAGAGTACAGTTAGAAGAGAATAAACTCTGGATTTAAAGATTCAGGTTGGCAAGGAGCTCCTAAAATATGTCCATTATGGCGCCCCTCTTTGGATTAACCATTGCTCTCTACGTGGTTAAGTTATGTTTTTTGATGAGAAATCTTATCCTGCATCTTAAAAGTGATTGACAATGCATGAACTAAACTTCAGTGAAGAGATGACTCCTCATATCCTCGAGTACATCTTCACTGATTTCAACATTTCTTAATTTCCCAGATATCCCTGGAGGCTGTGCGGAGTCTCGGTTTGCTCTTAGAGGGTTCAGCAAGTCAAAGCAAAGTTGTTCATCCGGTCCACAGGCTGCTGAGTAAAGGTCCACTGCAGACACAAGCCGGCTACTCCTCTCTCACCCGCTCCTTCCCCCTGCACAAGTTACTCTCCACCCTGCAGCACAGCCTCACACTCAACCCGTTCGGGATGACCGCCTGTCTGCGTTCAGGCAAGAAACTAGCCTGGGCTCAACAAGGTAAGAGATATCTGCAGGTGAAGACAAAAACACAAGAGTTAGAGCCGTTATAGTCTGTATTATTTTTCTTTTTTTGTGTGTCACAGTGGAGGGGGCCATGAAGAGAGCAAAAATAGCTCGAAACACCCACATGGCTCCACCCGGCAGCAGGATGGTGTTGATGTCTCAAGTCTTTAAACAGACTCTGGCTAAAACCTCAGACAAGCTGACAGGGGCCAATATCAAGATCCACAGATGTTCAGATGCCTTCATATACCTGCTGTCGCCTCTCAGGTAAAATCTGAATCCTGTCCTTTTTCTCATGCGTCCATTTTTCTCATTTCTAGATCTTTGGGACCTGTGTAACCTGGTTTGTTTGGTTTCAGATCAGTCAGCGTGGACAAATGCAGAGACACCGTTGTGGTTTTGGGTCCTGTTGAGACCAGCGTCCACATCCATGGCTGCCAGAACGTGCGGCTAGTGTGTGTAGCCGGCAGAATCGTTATTGGAGCCTCTTCCTGTTGCATCGTCCACGCCTTGACGCCCACACGCCCTCTGCTCCTACCAGGAAACACGGACATCACCCTGGGGCCTTTCCACACTTTCTACCCCTCCCTGGAGGATCACATGGGAAGCGTTGGGCTGGCTGTGGTCCCTAACGCCTGGGACCGACCTTTACTCTTGGGCACAGAGGGCCTTAACCCTTCACCCAACGCTTCATCCAGCCATGACCCTGCCTGCTACCGCCTGCTGCCTCCCGCCGAGTTCCACACTCTGGTCGTGCCTTTCAACATGGAGGGGGACACCTGCGAGGTCCCGGGGGGGTTACCGCCTCTCTATCACGCCGCGGTGGAGGAAAAGCAGAAGAGGATCCAGAACTGGCAGAAGACTGTGATGGAGGCTCGGCTGAACAAGTGAGTGGCTGACTCGGTTATTAATAAGTAGAAGAATATTGACTTTGTAAAAAGCACTTAAACATCTCTGTGATCTATATTTGAATAAAAAAAAGGCTTTGATTCCATTATCCAGCGGGCTATTTTGATCAGTGGAAAATAATAACCTAAAAGCCATCAAAAAGATCAATGAGAATGTGAGTCGGCCTCTCAGCTGGTGGGATAATGCTGAGCTCAGAAAACTCACTCCAGGGGCTCCACACTGACTCTGACTGGACAAAAATCTCCACACAACGCTGTAAGGAGGGCCTTCACTTAATTTCTGCTCTTGACTGTAGATAGGAGGGAAACGGCACAGAGAAAATGGTCGGCGAAACACTGCTAGAAGACTGATTTTAACAGTCATATTCGAACCCTGATAATAACTTCTGCAGCACAACACCTTAAGCTCGCAAAATTTCCCCCCTAGAGGCTCTATTCCTGTCCAACTGAAGCTCATTTATTTAGAGATTGATACTCCGACATATATTTTTTGTACTTTTCTGTTGAATCTAATCTCAAGTTTTTGGATAACTCTTTAATAACAGCCTGCTATAGAAAGGGATTTAAAAATAAAACATGTTTGATAATCTAAAGTTCACCTGCTCTTTTTTTTGAACCCCCGCTGTTTTGTTTCTCATTTCTGTCTGAAGGGAGCAGAAGAAAAAGTTCCAGGAGCTTGTGGAGATGAAGTTCCACGAGTGGCTGCTGGAAACGGGACACAGGCAGGAACTAGACAGCCTGATCCCCCCGACGTTTACCTCTCTGACTGACTCTAACGGACCTGCAGCAGACACTCAAGTCAAGGACAGTAAACCTTTGAGGAATGGACGAGCAGTGGGAGAGTCACCTCTGGCTTGTTGACCTGTTTGTTTTGGAGTGTGTTAGATATCACAGGTCTCGGTAACACCTGGAGCTCCTGTGAGTAAACAGAAAAACACGCTGTAGTTTAATACATTGGTGGATATTTACAGTTCACTCAGGCACATCTGGAGCTGATGATGCTGCTTTGAGAGGTGAACCACTTACTCAGACGGTATGAAAAGGCAGCTAAGTGCTTAACACACCTAAACAAGGTAGGGAGTGGACTGGCATGTTGTAAAACAAGATCGCAGCACTGCTGTAGGTTGAAAAAAGACGCAGGTGATGCAGAACAGCACAGGCCCTTTAAAGGGACACTGCTGAGGACCAAGAAAACAAAGCACTGACAAACATGCTCAGATTGACTTCGAAACAAGGTCACTGAAAAGCTGTTTTTCATTCAAAATATATAAATATAAGAAACAAGTAATCCCACATTCTTGAGCAAAAAAGAAGTAAATATATTTTCTAAGATCCCAAACTTTTGGAGTTTGTCCCGTCTGATGATGGAAATCGGGGGAAGCTGCTGCTGAATTAGCTCTAGCTTCATGGAAACATTGATCACTGTGAGAAGTTTGTCTCTCTTCTCTAAGGTCTAAAATGATTCTCAGCATTTTCCCCTCACTGTTTCCATGTACGTTATGTGAACTTTTTATTGTCTAAAAAATATATATATAACTTCCAGTAAGTGAATGCAACACTTTGTAGGCGTGCTAATATGTCCTTAACACAAAGTTACAAGCTCAGGTCATCATATTTTCCTTCTACATGTGTTAGAACTGATTAATTTTTAGACATTTTTCATTATGGGGGAAAAAAAGAGGGTTATTTAAATGAATTGTTTCAGGTACATGATCACAGCGTCCACACTTAATCTCTTTAAATATGACTCTACATGCTGGCACCACCGTCCACGGGCTCAACCTTTTCAGCGAGTTGTATTTTTCTGTCACAGCCTGGCTATTGATCACACAGCGGGGGGTTTTTCTCCAGCTTTCAAATGGAAACATCTGCTCTGACAGAGAGTGCTGTTCAGCTGAGCAGAGTACAACCTGAAAGAGCTGCATCACTGCCTGCAGATGTATACTCTAGTTTCTTCAATAAGATATATAGACGTGCCAAATGAGGCAGAACTTATGTCCAGATGCCGCCTGAATGTTCATTTATTTTTGTATGAATTAAAGAGTGTAAATATGTATATTTTGGCTTTATTTTTTCATAAATCCGCCCTGTTCACACAGCTAGCATTAAAATCCTCTAAGTGTATTTCAGGCCTTTAGCTTCCTGTTGAACACTGTCATTCTTGGTTCATTTGCTTGTGGGGATAATTACACACTTGAAGAGGAATAAATATTCACTGTCAAAGTATTACTGTGTATTTAAATGCCGGAGTGTCACTTAATTTTCTTACTGAATGTGACTTCACTGTAAAATGCCTTTCTGCTGTCACTAACCAGTCTAATGTTTCGAACCAGAGCACCTCTTTACAGCTGCTAGATGAAGAGAAAAATAGATTTAGATTTTTAATGATTTAAAAGGAATAAAGTTTTGTAAACAACCTGGTTTGTCTCTGTTTGTATGTTTTTAGCAGTTAACAGGATGCATTAAATTTGGTTCGTCCTAAAACTTACAACAGTTATTGTCAAATATACATTTTATAGCACTTAAAATCTGGTGGTAGTTGTTTTCTAACAGTGATGATATTGCTTCTGATCATTTCGGCCAATAAAGCAGCACTGCAAAAAAATGGACATGGCTGATTTCTCCACAGTGGAAGTCACCGCATAGGCCCAGAAACAGTTGTCTGGGGGTACATGTATTTAATGGAATTATCCCATTATTTTTTTTATCGTCTTCAGTGAATTAATCCCAAACTGGTACCTATATAACATAGTGAGTAAGGCCCAGTTATCCTAATTTTACATGATTTCTTCTCAAAAGTATGATAAAAAATTATAACAGTAACCAAACAATGACAGTTGTGTCGTGCTATAAATACTCTGTGAGAGACTGTGAGCTAATAGTTCAACAATTTCAGAATAATGTCCATGAGTGTAAAATGTGAAAGAGTGAGTGGATTTCATCCTCAGGGAATCTGGAGAAATGATGCAGCACAACGGTAAACATGCCCTGGTCTCAACAGCTGGCATCAAATGTAAAATGTTTATCATTCCTCAATGAAAAAAAAAACAAAATTTAATTTTTAACATTTGATGTGTTGTCTTTGCATTTTTTTTTTTTAGATTAAAAGGCTTTAAATTCTTTGCAAACCATCCAATTACGTCTCCATTGGAATTGTACTCACCAGTGATGGCAGATGGGCAGAGATGTCAGACAGAGTTTGAGTCTTCAGTTCCTTGATTGAAACAAACTCAAAAGACACTGAGGTTGCAAACACATTAAGAGGCAAGTCACACGTGGCTTAAATGAAATGCAATCGAGCTTGACATTCTGTAAATTTGCCAAAAAACTCTGAAACTGTATACAGTTTAAAACCTACTTTTAAAGCAGAGGTTGCTCTTTTATTGTTACATCGCTGGGATCTGCAGTTGGAAGCAGAACATAGAAAACTCAGTTTGGCACAAACTCTGCAAGGTTTGAAAAATTTGGAAACCTCTGCACTGCAGTTAAATCCATGAGAAATATGGTGTTTTAGTCCATTTTTTTGCAAAAGTAGTTTCATACTTTTCATGCAATTGCATTACAACATTATAAGATGTAAGTTTTTGATGTGAACATTTGCATTATTCTTATATAAGCTGAGATTTCTTGAGTCCATGTATTAGATATTCCTTAAAATGAACATAAAAGCTATAAAAAGCTGAATATGTGATAAAAGCATGAAAATATTTGCACATTGAGGGTCTTATTGTGCAAGAGTGACTTTGATTTTGATGCTTTCATTTATGCTGCTGCTAATATTCACATGTTTATTAATATACTATTTTTAAATGGAGGGTCCTGAACTTGTATCGGGGTACTGCTGCACTTTAACTCAGGTCAAGGATCTGAATTCTCCTTCCTGCTGCTCTGTCTGGATTCTTCCACAAGGCAGAAAGAAGTCCTGAGTTGGCAGGTCCTCACCAGGTGGGGGCAAGCTGGTGGAGCTGGCATGTGTGACATGGTGCGAGAGCTGGAGCTGGGGGTGGGCACTGGACCCAGCCAGTACAGTAGTGGGGGTCAATGGACGCTAACCGTGCCCGGCCATTATGCCGTAATCCTTCCTCGCTTTTCTGGAAAAACTGAATAGCACTAGAATCACTGACTCAATTTTTGGATCTCATTTTCATGACAAAGCGATTGTTCCCCTTTTACCTCCACTGTTTCTGTTTATGAACGTGGGAACGATGGGGGTATAAAAGGGAGCGGAGAGGGCACAGAGCAACATCGAGACCTCAGGGGAACAACCAGCTCCACCAGCAGCAGCACCACCGGCATCTCCCAACAGCACCGGGAAACATTCAATTCAAGATGGGCAGGGTGAGTTCAGAATTACCTGAACTGGTGGTCTAGGACTGATCCTGAGGTTCTGGTTTAGAGGGCCCATCTCTGAGGATGGGTGTCCATTGATTGGTCTGGTTGTGTTGGAGGTTTCTGCCTCTTCAAGTCTTTGATACTGATGTTGAATAATGTTTCTCTTTAAATGACACAAAGAATTTTTGTAGTGTGTTACTGCTGTATAAATTAAGATAGACATGTTGATTTAAGGCCTTGAAGTGGTTTGAGTTGTGGTTTTCGGTTGTGAAACTGAGATGTGATCAAAAAGAAACCGTAACCAAATCTTGTTGCTGTTTTTGGTGACGCTCACACTGACAACCATCTTCCCCAGATTGTCTTTTTCGAGGACAAAAACTTCCAGGGCCGTCGCTATGAGTGCGACAGCGACTGCTCTGACTTCCACACCTACCTGAGCCGCTGCAACTCCATCCGGGTGGAGAGCGGAGCCTGGGTGGTGTATGAGAGGCCCAACTACATGGGCTACCAGTACGTCCTGACCAGGGGAGAGTACCCAGAATACCATCGCTGGATGGGCCTCAATGACCGCCTCAGCTCCTGCAAACTGATCCACTTTGTAAGTCAGTGATTACCTGTGATCTGACCGGATACACAGTACACCTGTTTTATTTAGAGTGTGCAGAATTCACATGAAGGAGCCTGACTTCTGACATGTAATCAGAGGATAGTGCATAGGTTATAGATATCTACTTGAGGGATATATTGGCTTTAAACTGTCACTTATCAAAATAACCATTTCTACCTGGAGCAATCTGGAGTTATTTTTTTGTTTACCATTGACTTTTATTCAATTTTCGGTATCAAAGTTATTTAATTATAAATCAGCATAGCCAATGTAAAGTTTGACATTTAAGTGGTTTTTATAACTAATGCCTGAAACAAGTAATAATATTTCAATAGTGGAAATATTAATTCGAGCCATCTATAACTCCATATAAGGCAATTTTTTCTATTGACTTCCATTAAAAATCAGCTCCATATTAAATCTATAAAAAAGGTAATTCTTACCATTGACTTCCACTCAAAATCACCCTCAAATATCTCAAACAGAGTTTTAAGTCTTATTCCTAGGTGGTATAACGATCATGCACTTATAATGTAAGCTACCTGAACAGAGAAAGCTGAGAAGTCATATCCTTGTTCAAAATATTTCAAACCAATGTTACAACTGCTTTGTGTACACCTGAAGCTGCAGGTGTACCCCTTCAAAAATGGCTCTTTCACTTGATAAAATGTCTTTCCACTGTGAAAAACAGACTTGATCGGGGTCAGCTTTTCAGCTTCAGTCTTTCTGTTTACTGTTTACTCTGTCAGTGTCACTCTGACAGTCACAGATAGAAGCCACAGAGTGTAGGTCAGAGAGCCTGTTGATGCTAACGGTGACTGCAGGGCTCTGTCGATGCAGACGGATAATCTGGGTCAGTCTATTTGTTTGACTAGAGTCTGGGTTCACGGACCAACAGCCTGCAGGCACATCCAGGGCTTTCATACAAAAATCAAACTCCTTCATAGACGCTGCATGTATCATCCTTCTGCTAATTATAACTGTAAACGAGACCTTAAAGAAAACGATAACAAGGGATGGTGTCAGACTGAGTAAATCTAAGTGATTCTGTGGATCAAGACAGATACATGGACCAGCTAGTTTCTGCAAAGCTAGTTTGCTGTGATGTGAAAGACAAAGCTACAAACTAAAGCTCTTGCATTTGGTCAATATAACAAGCCAATATTGACTTGTTATTGATCTTTATCTGTTTTCAATGCCCTGGTTTAAAGACTTTTCCTTTCACATACATTTGTAAAAGGGATGTTGTTAATTAAAAGTGGTGCCACTTTTAAAGGAGAGTGTGCTGCAACCTTGTAGTTTACAATACTAAATAAATCCCCATATATTTCGATAGTTGTTTTATTTTTTTGTGGTATTTTCCAGCAGAACTAGCTAAGTTGTTGGTTTTTGTCACTTTAAACTTAAAAAGTTTTTGGTTTTAAATAGTTTGTGAGAAGATGGAGCTGGGATAATAATTTTGTTTTCAGCTAGAGTTGGATAGATGCCCTATGTTCAGCATTTTGGGCCTTTGTAAATCATATTACCTGATTCTGATGACAAAGTTTAAATATCTAGTTGACTAAATGTGCACATCCCTTTCCTGTAGTCCAAGCTTTTCTTCTTTAGTAAGCGTCACAAAAAACTCTTTTGGTTTCTAGAAGAAACATTTTACTCTGTTGTTCGATACAAATCTCATCCCCCCATATATCCCTCCTTCTCCTTTTTTCTCACCTCACATCCCCTTCCTTTTCTACCCCAACCCTCTGCACTAAATGCCGCCTCCAACCCTTCATCCACCACTCTCCACACGCTACCTCTCCCCATCTTTCTCCCACCCATTTCAACCCCTCCTCGTCTACCTCCCCTCCTCGCTCCCTCCTCCACCCACTCCTTCCAGGCCAGCGGGACCATGTACAAGATGCAGCTGTATGAGAAGACAGACTTTGGGGGTCAGGCCTATGAGACATCCGAGGACTGCCCTTCTCTTCAGGATAAGTTCCGCTGGAAGGAAGTTAACTCCTGCAAGGTCTACGACGGCTGGTGGGTCTTCTACGAGCACCCCAACTACCGCGGACGCCAGTACTTCCTGGAGAAGGGAGAATACCGCAAACCCGGAGACTGGGGCGCTGTCAGTCCCGCCGTCCAGTCCTTCAGGCGCTTCACCGAGTGATTCAACCTCCATCCAAAATGTTAAGACAGATCTACTGTGCTGATATTGACTTTGAATTTCATTGACTATTTTGTGATTTTGAACTGAGGTCTCACAAATAAAACCTGTCCTGTAAGCAAACTGACGACATTTCTCTGACTTTTTATTCATGGGTTATTTCGTGTCTTTTTGCTGAAGATTTCCATTATTTAAAAGCTGAACGACAACAATTGTCTGCAGCTTCAAACAACTTTAAATAAGCCTTAATAAAACCATCAGTACAAGAGGTTTGTCCTCTTCATCCTGTCACATTTTTCTAATGGAAGTCGTTTTGAGAAACCACCTTAACTGCAACCATACTGCAGTATAATCAACTGCTGTTCAACCTTCAACTCCAACAACATACAAAGCTCAGTTAACATGGTTCCCTGAGCACAAGCAAGCTAAAGGATAGGCAAAACTGAGGAGCATGGAAACCACACTGCCAACTAGTGCTCAAGTGGAGTACTGCACATCAACAAGACACCAAACGCTGACCTATAGACCTGCTTTAAGGAGAAAACAGCACCGAACCAAGAGTGTCTATGAGCTTTGAAGTTAAACAACTGTTTTTGTCAGTGGAGTTTGGTAAAGGGGGAAACCTACAAGCAGTTTTTGACTAAAAAAGTGTTTTATTTTCAAAAAGGCACATATAAGGAAGGCTCCTTTCTCTCCTTTCTCAGATACATTTGTCATGGAAATTTCTGAGTCTTCTAGTGGCAAAAAAAAAAAACTTTTAGTGAGCCTTAAAATGACTGGCTAGAAGAATTGTGATGCAGCTATTTTGCAAGTGCACTCAACTGGGGTATTTTGGACCCAAAAGTCTAGAGTATAATAATAGAGTGAGTTCATCTTCAATAGTTTCATAGATAAAACCTTTCAGTCTTCTTTATCCCAGCGCAGGTCAGAGGTCCACAGTGACAGGCTGAGGGTTGAAGTGAGTCCCAAATGAGAAACAGTTTCCTCCTCCACCAATCAGGAGCAGCTGACGTTCCTCTGGGTCCGTCAGCTCCGAGCAGAAAGAGTGCAGCATCAGAGGCCAAGGCACCGAGGTCTAGAGATGAAGTAGACAAAATGTAGTCTCTTGAGTAAAAGATCCATCTTTAAGTGATGAAAATGTCCTGAAAACAACTGATACTACTATTACAGTCATAAAATCCTGGAGCAGATCAGTCAATGAAGGATTAGTGATAAAACAAAATTAAACTCTGTGTTGATGAAGTAACACACACTGACCGTGTCCAGGCTGAACTCCACACAGCTTTGTGTTGTGAGGTCAATGATAAGCACACCTGGGACACCATCTGAATGCAGCCAAACTCCTCCAACTACAACCAGCTTTTCATCGATCACATGTGCACAATGAGAGTACCTGAAAAATCCAATGATAAAAAATCACATCTAAAATCAGTCACAGACTTTTGTTTTGTTGAACTGACTGATGCTAAAAAATAAAAACAGACCTGGCAACAGGAGGAGGCTGCACCTCTACTCTCTCCCAGGTGAAGCCTCTCTCTGTTGGCCTTAGCACAGCTGTGTCTCCCAGTGGGACTCCTCTTCTATCCAGCCCTCCAAAAACCACCAGTCCTCCACGATATGAGCACGCTGAATGGGAATGACGAGCCTCTGGTATTGCGCCCTCTACTTGAATCTGTAAAATATGCGTACGAACTAAACCTCAAGCGAAAACAGTTTCAGACTGTTTTTTCCTGATGTGTGTTTTCTTGTGTGAGTTCAGGATCCAGCAAAGTCTCTAAACTGGATAAACTTGTTTTACACGGCTTGTTTTAGCCTGACTTGTTCCATGTATTCATAAAAAGGTGTACATTTTGCAACCCCAACTTTACACTGTGAAAAATGTTAATAAAAACATATTTTGATTGTTTGAAAATTCTTTGAGCTGTAATTTTGACTTTAATAGTGCAAAAACAGCTCAACAAATTGAAACTGAAACATTTCATGGTTTTATTTATTGTGATCTCCAGATACTGTATCTAAAAACTGGTTAAATTTCCCTTAAGAATGAATCTTAACATTTCTGTTGAAAAGGACAAGACAGTAAAGAATCAAACCTCAGTCCAGTGCTGTTGGTCCAGACATAGAAAGTTGCCATCGCTGAGAGCTGCCTCGGTTTCATTCTTCCCACCAAACACAAACAGGTAGTTTTTGCCTAGAGAGTAAATAAAAAGTATGTATTAGCTTAAATGAGTAAGAAAGGAGGAAAATGTAGGTGCTGGAGACAAAAAGAAACCGCATCGGAGCTTCTTTTTCCTCCTACCTTCATGACTGACTATAGTAGCCGTGTGCCTCCATCTTGGCGCTGGTGGATCGCCCGTACAGACAATCTTCTCTGCACTGAGTTTTATTGTCTCTTCCTTTGAGTCAGAGGGAGAAAGTGGATTATCGAGGTCCAGGGTTACTTTGAAAAGGCCTCTGGTTGGGTTTAAAGGAGAAGAGCGACCACCAAATACAATAGCAGCTCCACCAGGGAGAGAGGTAGCAGTGTGGTAGAGACGGACACCTGGAGGAAGGAGAGACAACAACGTAAAAACAATAATGTAGTTTTTCAGGGTTTTATTTAGTGTTTCTGCTGGAAACCAATAAATCCAACGCTTCTCACCTAAATCCTCTGATGGTTCCACACTGACAGACCTCCAGCCCTCCCCCTCTCTGACGAGCATCCTTATAACCGTCCCTCTGCCTCCTCTGCTCGAGCCTCCTGTCAACAGGACCCTCCCCGGGCTCACCAAGGTGGACGCTGTCCCCAGCCCCTCCAGACTGACTGGTACAGTTTGTGCAGTCAGAACTGTGGGGCTCAGAGAGAGCGGAGGGGAAGGCACCGGAGATGCTTTCACAATAACACATAAAAAACAAAAATACTATGAGCTGGAAACAGGGACTGAGTTAAATAATGAAGGAAAATAATGTGAAACTTACCTGGAGCATAAGAGAGTAAAGCCTGTTCCATCAGAGAGCCTCGAGATGCAGTCAGGATGAAGTAGTGGGAACATTTCTGGTGCCACTCCTAAGGATACATGGATGTTTGATTGTAGAATACCAGCTAAAACTACTAAAGGCAGAAAAATCAAAATCTTCACCAAAATCTGCAGCTGCACTTCTACTTTTTGTGCAACACATTCAGAGTTAAATAAATACCAAGACAAAAAGCTTCATGCATGAACAGAATCACAGGAGCTTGAGATACATGGAGCCACAGCTCACCTCATATTCATCAAACGGCTCCAGACTCTCCACTCTGATTCGCTCCTCCTCCGTAACCAGCCCGAGGTAGAATTCATTCATATCCAGACACACACACTGGTCCCAGCCCTGCACGCCAAAACAACAACACTGAACTTTAATTACACAAAAATCAATCCCTTGCATACTAAAACAGATTGTAATCCTACTGGCCTTGTCCAGGAACCTGCGTCTCTGAGCAGCAGTGTCTGGGTACTGTCGAAGTGCATGCAGAGTTGAGTTCAGCTTCAGGAAATGATCTTGCATGATTCGACCAAAGGGATCCAGAGGGTGAATTTGCTCGTATATAACGAAGAGCGACTGAGGTAGAAGCTTTGCAGCCCAACGAATGACAGCGTCTGACCTGAAAGAAACACAACAGTGCAACAGCACCAAAGCATTAGGGGAAAAAAATGACCACCAAAGACATGAAATTTAATATTTTTTGCTGGATTTTTACCTTCATTTTTTATGGAATTGTGTAATACTTCTTTCAAAATATTCAAGTCAATGATTTCAAACACCCTCTCCCAAAACCTTTTTTCGTGAAGCCTTATCTTTAAGGCTTGAAATATCATTGTCTTTGCTTTTATGTACTCATAACTAAAAAGAGAGATGCTGAGCCCCTCATAGAGAAAAATGTCCTCACCATTGTGTTTCCATGTATGTCAGAACCACCTCTGACAGAATCAGGGTAGGGGCGGCCCAGTCCAGCCCAGCTGCACCCAGAGCCTCCTCTACTTGGGACTCCTCTCTCACATCCACACCCAGCAGTCGGTACTGACCACTTGACACAAACACGGGCCCTGAAGACAAACAAACATGAGCAAAACCCCTTAAAAATTACTTTGTGAAAAATTCAGAAGTCTGAGAAGAGAGTACTCAAAGTTTCAAACCTGCAGGAGAAGGTAAATGGGAATCTAACGTCCCTCTTAAAGTAATATTAGAGTTGATCAGAGCAGTTTTTCTTCGGGCTACATCAGGAAAGTCTACTTCATAAACAACAGCTCTGTCTAGCGCTCCAACTGCATGAAGGCGAAAATACAAAGAATCGAACCCTGCGCCCAAAGACAGGATCTGAAAGGAGAAAAGAGAAAAAATAAGAGAAGTAGTTAGACACTAAGAAAGGCTACTTTTGTTATGCATTCATTATGTACAAACCTTAGTGAAAAAGATAATATACATGCCTGTCTTTTGGGGCAGTTTTCAGTGACGTGCAGAAACCTCCTCACACAGTGATCCACAGCTCTCCAGCGCACATAGTAGCCCCTAAAACATGAAAACACCACAGTAATGAAGCTTTACATATTTTCCACCATGTTTAAATGCTGCTTTCTAAAGCCTCATAGAAGCTGCACTGAATTAAAAAAATGATATTCTGTTACATTTTCATTCTGCAAAATTTGTTGCAATTTATTTGATATTGTGAAAACTAAAGGAAACTGTAACACACAAATGTGGTGAGTTTCTTTTATGTACATTTTTACAGTCACAAATATACAATTGTTTTTACAATCTGTGGTCAACTCAGTTCAAGTTTGTGTTGGTAATCTGTAATTGCCTAAATTATGTCCATCCAAATCCTTTAATTTAGTATTTCTAGGTTTAATAACCTGGCTGATTAAGAAGAGATTAAGATCTTAGCAGACCTGTTGATGAGTGGGGCTCTTCTGGCCACTTTGCACACAAAGTGTTGGAGGAAGTCATCTTTGAAGTAACCCTGGGCTGCAGCAGACACCTTACTCACCACACTGCTGTCGTTTGTTCCCTGAACCTGAAACAAGCAACAAAAACGACAACAATTTTATTGTTTGCCCTTTTTTATTGTCACCTTGTCTTAAATATTTCTAATTTAAAAGGTCAATATAGTTGTCAAATACATGTAGGTGAAGCAAATAGGATTAACAATTTAACACCACACTATATCCCGAAATGTAAGAATGAGACAGAATAAGACTCGAGTGCCATAGCAGTTGGTACACCTTAGTTATAGTAGAAAATACAACAATAAACACAGAACTTTAAGACTTCTAAGACTGATGTATACATGCATGTTACTGTTGTGAATGAATGAGTTACCTACCGCGGTGTCTTTCCCCTGCTTCTTTCTGTTTGTAGTCGGCATGGTGTCAGTATACCGTCTCAAATTGGCACAAATTAAGCGTCTTAAATTAAAGTTTATTGCTCATTTTAGGACAGCATGTTGTACACTACATCCACAACATCCTTCGTGTGCAGGAGACTCCTGAATGCCGGCCTAGCGCCCCCATCAGGTCTGGAAGTCCACCAGGCATCTGACTTCTTCTTCGTTTGTCGCGGTTGGCAAAGGTGTTTGTCGCCACTCTCTGGTATAAAACGACGACGTTTCAGCTGTCGAGGAATTACAAACAACCGCTCAGAAAAAAAGAAACACTATTGGTGTGTAAAAGTGTTCGTATTTGATATTATCACGTTGCTTATCTTCTCTTTAAGGGCTTTGAAAATCCTAATCTCGATTATTAATTCCTGATTGTGTTAATTAAAAGTGTTTTATCATCAGACTATGAATTATGAAACATATTTTTATTGATAGCTGTGAATTAAATCAATATTAAAATGTGACGAGTCACTGAATGGACCGTTGGGGAATGCGGCTCTTCTTTTGACAATGCGGCACTCTTTGCGCATGCGCAACTTTCCAGGAAGTGTTAACATTCTCTTTAACCAGCTGATAGCCAAATTGTCAACAGTTAAGCCAGCGACACCTGCGCCCCTTAAGGACAGCATATAGGGTAAATATACATTCTTATATATCCACCAATCGTCTAATATTATTCAGATTAACACGTAGTAGTAGCATGTTAAAAAAGGCGTCGAAATTTAAAGCTTTGATTCTGTTTCGGCTCGTCCGACCTGAGCGGTGTCCCGTTAGCACATAACGCAAGATAAGAGCTGCTGATCAGATAACATTTACAGTAAGTGGACATTATTAGCGACAGAGTGTAGGAGAGACAGCTGCACCCTGCTCAGACTCTTCACATTAGGACGTAAAGATGTGTGTAATGGTTGAAATGACTGCAGTAATGTTCAGCACTGCTATTTCTGAAGAGGCAGACAGCTATTTGAGGCGCAGCATCCCTGACTAAGCTCCAGTTTTAGTGCAGGATAATGGGACAAAGCGTGCAATAGGTGATCATTTCAAACACAGCTCTAATTTACTGAACACGGAGGAGACATGGAGGGTTCGTATATTTGTTGTGCAAGCTTGTTTTCCCTTGATTTGATGCCAAGGAAGTCTCCACCCTTCCTCATAGAAACAATCTTCCACTCTTAGATGAACTGAAGGAAGTATCTGTTGTCTTTACGGGGAAGACTTGAGAAACAAGGTCCTGATCCATGACTACTAAGTGTAGACTTGCCTGATCTGGACTAAATTATTCTAATAAGTCTGCTTTCTCTACAAAACACTGCTCGAGCTTTGTGAAACCTTCTTATTAAGTGTGAAAATGCAGAAGAAAAGAAGGAAAAAAAAGATGATTTGGACCATCTTGTGATTCAGAACCACAATAACCAGACTAGGAAGATCTAGGCCTTGTTATCTCTGAGAGGCTACCGACTTCGCAGACTGTGAAATGCAAAATGTGCTGCTTTCTTATTCTCTCATCAAAACACTTTTCTTTACACAAATACTATTAAAGTTGGACAAATCTCTAACTGTGTCTAATATTGGGTGTAATTTGGACCAGATCTGAGAGATTTAAGTATTTTGTTCTGCATAAGAACAATCCGGACCTTGGATAATCTTACTAGAAAAAAACTAGGACACCAGTTCTTAATTGTATTTCAACAAACTGAATAAAAACTTAACAAATCTAAAAACTGTGTTTTTAAGAGATGGTTGCCTCTCTGAAATAAATGAGTCCACATCTGGTTTTGTGATTTCTGGATCAAGACCTGGATCAGGGCACTGAATGATAGTAGGCCTGTGTCTTGTTAGCTCTGCCTGTTTTGTACAGAACATGCCACTGTTGTCCTCCCTCTTCTGCTACCAAGATGTTTTGTGTGTATTTGGTGTCTGTTGCTGCTGTCCTTGTTGCTGTTGATCTGTTTTTTGTACACAATGAGACTAAAGACAAGTTTCCACTTGTGTACAATAAACGAACTAACTAACTAACTAAATTTAGACTAGATAGGGACAAAAGCAGTGAAATTGCCCTTTAATTTTCATTTTTACAAATAGAACAAAGATGTCTAAAACCTTAAAATGTGTTTAAAGAAGTCTTTAGACTCATTGAGATAATCTTGTTTAGATCCGACAAGTCTAAGTACAGCGGTTTTGGATCAGGACCTTGTTTTTGTGACCTTACCACCTACAGCCAAATCAGAAGCTGTGAATAAGATTCAAACTCAGGTGTTGTTTAGAAAGACTGAGCTGAATAATGTGATGCAGAATACGTTTCAGTGGAAAAACCCCTGAACTGCTGTTCGTGGACCTTATGTCAGATCAGAATCCTCTATGCAACGCCTTAACATTTTGTCAAGAGATATTTTTGCCTCTGAAAATTTAAGATCAAGTTTAAAGATGCAGTTTTAATATTTTAAGATCCTCCTTTAAGTTTGAGTTGAAATCTATGAAGCTCGAACATACGGTTCAATATCTAAACAACAGTTTGAAGTTTGAAAAAAAGAAATTTTATCACGCATATTAGCTGTAACTTTCAGTCAAATTCTCTATTCACCTGCTGCTTCTCATGTTTGATGTTGTGACTTCTCAAACTATTTTCAGTCTTTGTCATGCATATTTCCATCACTGCCCTCTTGTTCGTCAGTCGTCGTTGCTAATTAACCTGCAGTCGCCACTCATTATTCCAGGGTAGCTCCTTCTGTCAAATGTTCACATGCTGATTTATAAGTGTGCAAAAAAGATTTTTCTTATTCATTACATTCGAAAAACTCTTATGCAAGTTGTTTCTGTTACGGTTTTCAATGTTCCTGCAATGAAAATTTGATTTATTGTGCAGCACTGATTGGAAGGTGCTTTTGTTGCCTGTAAAAGATAAGAAAGAAAAGCATGGGTGAGCTTGTGCATGATGTAATCCTGCACCAAAACAAAAACCTTTCACTTCTTCCTTCAGACAAAGCAAAGAGTGCAGAGAGGTCAAGACACCACCTGCCTGCAAGACGTGACTCTACGCTCTGTTAGGAGGTCAGTGTCAGTGCTCTGCTTCAGGGAGGAGGCCCAGCCCCCCTGACGTCTCCTACAGCGGGCCACTATGAGCTCCAGAGGGAGTGGAGGCCGCTCCAACGGCACACTTCCCCAGACCAAGATCTGCCAGTTCAAGCTGGTGCTCCTGGGGGACATGGCTGTGGGGAAGTCCAGCCTGGTGCTGCGGTTTGTCAAGGGACAGTTTGATGAGTTCCAGGAGACAACTATAGGAGGTGAGGAGAGAGAGACCAGGAAGGTGGTATACTCTGTTAGCAAAAGTATACTAATCTTATATTTCTCTCCTTTACTACCAGCTGCGTTCCTGGCCCAGTCGGTGTGTCTGGATGACACCACAGTGAAGTTTGAGATCTGGGACACTGCAGGACAAGAGCGATACCACAGCCTGGCTCCCATGTACTACCGCGGCGCTCAGGCTGCTATCGTCGTCTTTGACATCACCAAGCCGGTAAAGTATTATCAGAAACTTTAACAAGTGATGTATTCATCCAGAAATGGGCGCCATTTAATGTAAAACCCGGCCACTAGACGGTAAAGAGGCAGAAGGGGTGACTAAACATTTATGGTCTGTACATTGAAAACTAGTGACGATTCTGTCTGCCTCTGATAGCTAATGTTTCCAGAGTTGCACGTCAAAGAACATACACAGTGATGTTATGCTTGCAGATGCTATGCCATTGGAGTAGCTCTTGCCTTTAGGCAAGACTAGCAGTATGTAGTTACTTATCATTACAGCATCATCACTCTGCTCCCCACTTTCTAGCTGCTTCTTTTTAATTATTCATCGAGTAGTTGTAGGGAAAAAAAACTTGCTTGAGAATAAATGTGCATACAAGTCTTCACAATGCAACAAGAGTTAGCACTGTCAGATGGAGCCCCTGTGGAAAGGTTTCTGACTATTATTGCAAACTTTGTGCATGTAGTTGAAAGTTAAGCAGCTGTTTGGGGACCTCTTCTGACCTGAGGCCCCTAGCAGTTGCCAGTCTTTAATCAAAACAAACTCTCATAAAAAAAAAACACATTCAGAGTAAATGTACCGCCCAGCTCTAGAATTAGATAAACATTGTGTCCCATCTAACAAATAAATTCTTCAACTGATATGCAGTCCACAAGCTCTGTGGTTGTGCCTGGTGTTTATCTACGTGTTATTGCGGTGTTTGTGCAGGAGACGTTTGAGCGAGCTAAAGCCTGGGTGAAGGAGCTGCAGAGACAGGCCAGTCCTAACATCGTTATTGCTCTGGCTGGAAACAAGGCTGACCTGGCAGAAAGGAGACTAGTGGAGTACGAGGTAACAAACTCCTGTACTAAACCTTCAGCCTCAGCTAAATCACCATCTCTGTGGAGCTGGAGACTCTGTGACATTTTCTTTCTCCAGTTTAGGAGATTTATTTGTTGTAGCTCACAGTTTTGATGTCTTTAATGTCTACTCAAATCTACCGGACTGGTTTCTAATCACTGATATGATTACTGTTAGTCCTCCAGAGTCTGTGAAGATAACCACATTCACAGCAAATGGTGTTTTCATCATAAAAAACATAACAGATCTTTGCTGTGAGCTGTAGGGATGTAATCTGTGGAAGTGAAACTGAGGCCCTTTCTTGTGCAAAATCTTTTAATTATAAATGAAAACAAGGCCAGCCAAACAATCTAATAATTAGACCCTTTTGATGTTAATTTTAAGCTATCCCTGTTACGTAAAAGTCCATGTTATGCAATTTGTGTCCAATCTTTGATGTGAAATACTTAAGAGTTCAGTGTTTTGGTCAGTCCCCAGAGCTTTGACCTTAACTGGGTTCATGTTGTTTGTAGATAACAAACATATAAATATTTCCCAGCTTAAGCTTGTTAGTAATGTTTGCAATTTTTTGGATTTGTGCACGGTGTATGATCCAGGAAGCACAGACGTATGCTGAAGACACCGGCCTGCTCTTTATGGAGACGTCTGCGAAGACAGCCATGAACGTAAACGAGCTCTTCCTGGCCATTGGTGAGTCAGTAATCCGGTCATTTACAGCTACACTTTAAGACCTTTTTGCAGATTGCGGGTCAGGCCAAAAGAGTTGCCACTCTGGTGGAACAGATTATGAGTTCAGTCCAGGTTGTTAATCTATTCCCTCTTAGGGTTGAGGGGACGGTTTTTTACAGATACAATGTCGGGAAATGAAGCCTTGATATAATTAACGCGTGGTTATAGATCCAGATTCAAGAATTTTATGGATTTTCAACAATACATTTTTACTGAAGGTGTAAAAAAAAAAAAAAGCGATGACATTTAATATGTCAGTCAAAACTGTGAACCTTTGTTTCAGCTGCATCGTTGTACAGAGCAGTGCAGACTGTGAACTTGACAGCCTGAGTCTGAGAGTGACTCATGGCAGATAAGATTTGAAGAGATATACTTTTATAGTCCCTGGTGGGAACATTTCCTGGCCTCAGTCTAACTGCAGTTACAAACAACATATAAGAACAATTCTGAAAAAAGCATACTGTAGGGACTTGGTTTGGGTGCCAGGGGGTCACCAGTTTAAGTCCCCTAGTTGAATGGATATGTTGTTTTTTTATTAAAATATTTTATAAAAAGATATTATGTTAAAATGTTTGATTATCAATACTGAACACAGGAAAAGTTCCAGTTTGTGTGGGAGTAATAAACCCAGAGTAAGACTCTCTAAAACGTTACAGGAGAAATGCACAAGAGAGCCATGAGAACACTGATTGATGAACCTCTTAAAAAAGGGAACAATAAACACAACTCTTCTAGAACACAGACATCCTGCTGATGAGAAGTTCAGTGTACATGATAAAGAATGACTATTTTGCAACCCAAGGTTTCTCTCTGAGTAGGTGTAGGATTTTAGCTGGGTCTGATGCAGGTTTCCGTGCACGTCTGAGAGCAGACTGCTCATGAAGCAGTTTTTAACCCCCCACAATTTTTTCAGATTAGTTTCTAATACAAAGAGTGAGTCGGGCACTATCTTAGATTTCAGTATTTGTACTTGAAAAGGCAGGGAGCTAAGGCACATGTAACCCAGAATTTCTGATCCACTACAGCTCCAAATGTGAGTGCAGACTCAGGAATAATCCAAAGATTTAGCAGAGTAATTCCCTCTTCTGGGTGAATAACGACACCTTAATGAAAAATACAAAATGTCCTGTCTGGCTGACGCTGATACAAGGAGGCTACAAATATGTTTCTTAAAAAAAACTAGATATTTGATCTTCTTTCATTTTTCCTAAGAGTAAACCCTGAGAAAAACAAAGCTGGACTTTTGTCAATGTAATTTTGTTGAGACTTAAATAACTTTTGTTTTGTTTTTATTTTAATTTAGCAAAAAAGATGCCAAAAACAGACACCCAGAACCCGACACATGCAGCACGACATCGGGGAGTCAACCTCCAGGACCCGGACGCCCACTCCACCCGAGCCTGCTGTGGAGGGAACTAGACCTCCACCACCTGCATCAGTATCCCACCATCCTCACACCACCACATCCCTTTAAACATCCCGTCTCCTTCGACCGACTCACAGAGGGGGCCTGATACGAGGGAAACCTGGTATCCACTCACCCCCTCACCCTCCATTCATCCTGCTGTCCGAGCAGACCGATTCAGAGACAGAAAATTAAAGGAGAGAGGAAAAGAGGACAGAGAGAGAAAGACAGAGTTTACACGTCTGTTTCTTGACCAACTGAGATTCTCCGCTGTGAAGGGGGAAGTATAGCGGAGACTGAGATGGAGGGGAGGGAAATAAGAATGTGGAAGACAGTGGCGAGCCTGTTGTAGTATTTAGCACTAAATGTGAAATTTCTTTGTCCTCATGCTGCCTTGCATTGTTCCAGTCACAGCCATGACAGCATAAAAATGCACAAAACAGGCAGCACACGCTAGAAAGCAGCCGAGAAAGGGAAGAAGGAAAAAAACGAGGAAAGATAGGAACTAAAAAAAAAGGTTGTGTTTTGGCTGCTTTCTTCTTCTACAGAGCTTGCGCCTGCTTGCTTTGCCACCTCCCTGTCCTGAATCAATCAGATCCTGCTGTGAATACTGCCACATGCTGACCCCTGGAATGATCCCATAATTCATAATCCCTCTCCGTCCTGCCCGCCCTCCTATGCTGTCACTGTCCAGACCCACATTAGATAACACTCGTGGCACAGTTTCCCCAACAAAAGTCCATTTGTACGTATTTATTGTCCAGTGTTGACTTCTTTTGACTGCTGGTAGTGATGCTCCAGTGTCTTTTAAAGGCACGCTCACATTTCTGTTTTTCTTTTCTCCGGATGGAAACTAAATCTGTGTGTGAGGAAGCTTTTAGACTCCCGATTCAGTGGATTTTGATGATGTGTGTTTCTCATTCATTTGCTCTGACAGACCTGCTTCTCTAATGAACGTTTGTTTGGGTTTTAACGCCTTGCTTGAATGCTCATCAGCACCACTTACTATTCTGTATAAAGCAACAATGTTGACTTGATATGGAGTGTGTGTTTAGGCAGTAATAAGACTCTAATATTGCTTTGGACCTGGTAACTGTAAACTCTAACTGATTATACGTCTGTAGCAGAGAGCGTAACCCTGAAACCCAAAGAAAAAAAAATACTGTGTCACTCTAAAGATTTACTAAGCACTTGTTCTCAAAAACAAGCTTAAAGGGTATTACCGTATTTTCAAACCTGAGACCTACTTTTACATTTTATTGGGTCAGAATAAGGAATTGGTTCAGGAGGCGTTAGTATGGCTCCAGCAGATTGCTTCGATCAGCATCGACTGTAAGGGCCGCGCAGTAATCCGTGAGGGCAGCTGCTCCTGAGCTCCCAGAGTTCTTGTTTGTTTCACTGTGTAAAAAAATTACAGAAAATATCCTTAAACAGGAAGAGAGAAAAATCCATTTCCATTAAAGAGAAACTGCTGTTTTATTGCGGTCTTTAAAGCCGGCAGATTTCACCAACAAAAACAGTCATTTTGCCTCAGAGGTTGTTTTCTATCGCTGTCTGAAGGGGGTTGTTTTTGACTTTTTTTGGATTATACTTTCAGACTTTTATGTCTTTATTCAAAGAGGACAGGACAGTGGAAAGAGCAGGTCTCTGGGGGAGAGAGTGTGGAGTGACATACAGGAAAAAGGCTGAACTTGGGGATCTCAGCCTCTGCACATGGGGCGAAACACAACCCCCAAGCCAAACCAGCACCCCTGACTTTGGCCTGTTCTATCTATGTAGAGTTCCTGATTTACAGACCTGATGTTACACACATAAACCACGGATATTTTAAAGCTCTTGTGAGAAGTTTTTGAAACAGACTGAAACAAACTACGATGCATCCCTATAATGTAAAAAAGCAATGAGAGCACTGACGACAAGAATGGCAATTCCTACGCTGTATGCTTGGGAAAAAGTCTTAGTTTTTTTTCTGCCAACCACATACCTGATGTCTGGATGCAACACAATATTTGTGTAAAAACAGTAAAAATCGCCCCCTAAAAATCCTTTGTTCTGTGAGGTAAAATGACTGTTTTTGCCTGTTTTTGATAGCTGTTTATGGATTCAAAGCATTTAACTCTGGCTGCCAGTTTGGCTCGGTTGGTGGAGTGGGCGGCCCATGTACCACGTGGCTGCGGTCTTCATGCGTCATTCCCCTCTCCCTTCCCTCATTTCCCGTCACTCTCAAGCATTTCCACCATATTTAGGCAAATAGCCTGTAATAATACAATTGAAAAATGCGTCTAACTCTTGAATAAAAAGGACTGTGTCTCTGCAGGGACTCTTTATGGAATACTGCCCGAATCATTCTGATCATATGTTACCCTTTTTTGTCAACAACTTTGGCCGGGAGCATTTGCCCCCAAGGATTCCTGTTGGCTTGTCTGTTTGAATATCTGCTGGAGCAAATACAAAAGAAACATTACCAGTTAGTCATTGAAAAGAGAGAAATTGTGTAAAATAGGATATAGTTTTAAAAGGGAAAGAATCAACCTCTGTTTCTGGTTTTAAAAAAGGATCACAGATGAGATTATTTGCAATAGTTGAACTGTATTTGGAGGGCTGAAGAGTGAGAAGATGAGAAAACCTTTGTAATGAACCTTTACCATGCCCTGTGAGAGAATTACCCTCCCATATTGTGTTTAATGTTCCCTTTACCCGTCTTTTGGCTGAGGTGGTGAACTGATCTTACATGATTTAACTTAATAACCTAAAATCGAGCTCTTGAACTCGAGTTGTGTGCTTTGTTGCTATCTGAGGTGTGTGGGTGAAGAAAATTAAGACAGAATAGATGAGACACACACACAAAAAAAACAAAAGTGCCTATTCCCAGTTTTCTTTCTTTCTTTTTTTCTGTGAATCATGTTTGGGGCTTTTCTTGAAGTGTGTGCTTCGTAGAGAGTGCAGAAATCTCACCTCCCTGTCATCAGCTTGTACTATAAACAATAACCTGGCACCCTGTCTTTAGGCTGTAGTGAACTGTACTGGCTGTTTGTATGGATGTAAAGAGATCTTGTTGATACACTGTATGTTAAATATTATTGTCTTAATTTTAAAGGTGTTATGTTGATTCTAGCGGAGCACACTTGTGAACTTTGAATGGATCTAATTGATGTTATAGATCTGTTTTATTTTAAAAAATTGACATCAGTGAGAACATTTTCGTTTTATCTCATTTTCAGGTTTACTCGCACGTGTTTCAAAGCATTTAAAAACCGGCAATCTAATTAAAGGTCTAAGAATTGGCTTTTGAATCTGTATTCAGCACTAACGGCTCATTGGCAACATTAAACAGTTCATTCTTCAGGGCTCACAAGTAGGTTCAATGTTCTGTGCAATTAAAATGACAAAAGGTGATTTAAAAAAATAAAAAAAAGGACTTGATTTTTTTTTCATTCATTGGCACATTGAGTATGTGTAGTGTTCAATAAAGCTGTGAATGACGCCTTGAGTGCAGAACGCTGATTGCTTTTCTTTCCATTCCCCGTGACTTTCCGTGAGTGGAAGAAAGACTTGAAAAGCCACATTTTATTGAATCTTCGACAGAGTTTTTACAAGTGGCTGAGAGCTGTGTTTGTCTCATCAATTCATGTTTTAAAAAAATAATCTTTGCAGAGTCATTACCATTTCTAATATCCTGAAATTATTCTTCGAAAAAAAAAAAAACAGCCCAAAACATTTTGTTTGTAAATCATGCTTTAGTGGATGGAAACATATAAAAATCTAATTTTACAAAAAGACGACAATTCATTTGCTGTTGTGGAGAAACTGAATATTGCATGTCAAGTCAATTTAATCACTTTCCCCTATTTTTTATAAAAGGCAGAAAATAAAAAGATAAATTAGGAGAATGTATCCTCTGTGTCAAAAATGAGTCCTCACCCTTTGCCTTGTCTCACCCTGCCCTCTAATCCTCACCCTCCTCATCTTCCACTGTCGCATAGATGATCTGGTTCCTGCGTTTGATTCTGGGGGTTGACCCTCTGCTGTCAGGACCTCCGCTCTCGTCGCTGGTACGTTTCAGGATACGTGCGGCCGCAACATCATCTTCCTCGCACTCCTTTTCTGCTTCGGGAAGAGACCGAGGGACTGCTGGGGTGGAGTGGGAGGGAGGGGGGAGGTTCATGAGGTCAGGTAGATGAGTAGGGGAGAAATCAGATTTGGGTCTGGGTAGAACCAGCCGGCTGGGGGTGTGGATGTCACCTGCAGCTACATCAGGGAGTTTATCTCCCTTCATTTCTCCTTTAGAGTCACTCTCAGCCTCTTCTGCTCCCTCCTCTTCCTCCCACTCATCCTCTATCGTAATCTCATCTGGGTTCAACGAGCTCGATAACCCTGAAGTGTCAGTCGGGTACTCGCTGGGCTCATCTGCGCTCCCTGTACTCTGTCCGTCTTCATCATCGTCCTCTCCTCCAGTGCTGCCCTGAACTCCCCTGCCTCCCTGTGCAGCCAGAGCGTAGATATCTGTGAGTCCTAGCGTGGCGCAGAGCTCGGTGGTCTGGGGGTTTGTACCGCAGCTGGGGGCGGTGTGAGGCTGGGGTTTGTTGGGGTCGTAGGCTGGCACGGTCCGGCTGAAGTTGTCGGGGATGGCGAGCTCACCGCTGAACTCCTCCACCACCTTCATCATAGCAACTTCTGAGGCTCTGAAGTCCCACCTGTGATTAAACAATCTCTATTACCTTGAACTCAACAGCTGTGCCTGCCGGTGTGAGAGGAAATGATCTGAAACTGCAATTTGTTGATTTGAAGTAGAACACATTATGACCGAAATGGTTCATTTTATTCTTATTTCTCTGTTTAAATAAGTTTATATATTGTTCTTTGTACCCACATGGTCAGGTATGATATCCTAAAGAGTTATTATTTTGCTGCTCCAACTACATGCATCAGTCTCACCTTTTTTCTAATCCTAATTTTTGACTCCACCTGGTTTAACTGGAGTTATCGTTCCAGCCCATATTGTGAACTTCATTACTACAAATGTTGTTACTATAGACCTGTTGACTCTAACCCTAAACTAAGATCAGTCTATTATCATTAAAATCATCTTCCTGTAAGCACTCCACATCCTTGCTCCATTGTTTTTGCCACTTGACCCATATGTCTGTATGTATTATTGTTGTTGTTGTTGTTAATCAGTATCCATCTCTCGCTTTCTGCATCTCAATCTCTACCTCCTTTCTGTCTCAGCAGATGACTGTCTCACATGAGTCTGTTTTTTGTCAATATCACAACATTTTCAAGAAATGCGCAACCATGGGAAGCTTGCTGTGATGTGTGTGTATTATTTGTACCGTTCATGGAGGCCGTTGTTTTCTGGGGGATTCCAGGGGTGTTGGGTGACTCTCTGTAAACTGTTGGTGGCCTTCAGGATGGCGAGCCACTCCGGATCGTACTCAAGACCTTCAGATGAACCCGGTCTCTCTGGAACATCTACAATCTGCAACACAAGAGTGTGTGTCACCCGAAATACTATCAAACCCGCATTCAACACCAGACTGAACAACAAAAATTTTTCTCACCTGGAGGAATTCCCTGTAGGGGAGACATTTATCCAGGGACAGGAACTTGGTCACACGTGGTGCTGAATTACCTTTAGGCTAAAGACAAGAGAGTTTACACTGAGTGGGTTAATACACTGATATATAAAACAAAACTAATGAAACTGCAGAAAACTGTAAACCTCACCTGATGCTGCATAATAGCAGCAAACTTAACGTGCAGATGTGCAGAGAACCAGTAGCTGGGTTGGAGGTGAGCAAGCAGCTCCTCAGCAGCAGGACTCCCCAGGGTGTTGGACTCTACTTCTTGTCGCAGGAACTTCTTCTTTCGCAGCAAATCTGGTGTACTTCCGTAGTGATAAATCTTACGGGGCCAGTCATGGCTCATGAAGATGTCAATGGGCATCTGGATCTGAGTGAAAAAAGACATTTTTCTTTCATCTCAATACAATTCATTTCTCTGTTTTATGTTACACCTTTGACAATTAGGAACTCAGATGACTACTTGTTGATGTTTATTGCATAAATTTATAAATGTTTGCAGGTGCAGCTGTACATTGTATGCTGCTTTGAGTGAAATGCTGCCAAACTTCTTGTATCTGAAACAGTAATAATGAAGGATCTATATATCTGCTTGACGATTCTGTAATATTTACCTGTTTTAATTTGAACACCTCAATATTACGGACGTGGTAGACGCTTCGTAGTGTATCAGGGTTGTATGGAGGGAATTCATGGTGACCTTAAAGAGCAAAAATTATGTGTAAACACACTCAAACATACTCTACCTTTCCATACTGAAAAGTTTAACCCTCTGCAGGCAGAAAAACTCACCTCTTCTGTAGTCACGTGATTTAAAGATGCCGGACAAACCCCCGATTCTAATCCCTCTGTAGCGAACTACACCTGCATAACCTGCAGGAATATGCTCAAGTCAGGCTCGCAAAGGAATAAAGGCGTAAACTGAACACTTTAATCTACTTTCTGCCTGTTCTTACCAAGATAATAAATATTGGGAGCCACCCAGCCTCCATAAGGCAGCTCCTGCAGGTGGTTTGAGGCCTCATGATTCCCTCCAATGAAGATGGTCAAGACTGGAGCTTTCTTCTCTCCAGAGTAGTATCTGCAAACAATACAAGAATATTATATTACTTATTCACTTTCTCTGTTTATAAACGTCACTTCTCTTGGAAAAACAAACAAACTTACTTGTAAAAGGTCTGCATGGTTCTGTACTTGGCCGGCACTGCCATGCACTTCATATCTCCCTCATTGCGTACTGCCTGAAAGTCTCCACAGCAGAGCAGGAGGTCCACTTTCACCCCTTCTTTCTTCTCCAGGAAACCGATGGTCTCATAGATCTTGTCCAGCTCCCCATGACAACAGCCTTCAACTGCAATCTTCATTCTCTATGATTTGTAAACTAGAGAGACAAAGAGAGTTACAGTTAGGATTAGTTTGACTCTTGGTGTGATTTTGAGCCCACCTATGGCCAGTAAGAACACCTAAAAAGTTCACAACACTGGCAATGGTGTTCATTTTTTGCCAAAACCAGGACAGGAAAAGGTTTCAGTCTGCTCTCAGCTCACATCCTACATATGTATGTATGTTTGTATCTATCTATCAATCAATCAGTCCAGACTAAAAAGGTATGTTTTCAGTTTGCTTTTAAAATCATTTATTGATTGTAGTTATATATTATATAGAGCTCTTTGGATAAATCTTAGATTCAGCGGTCAAATGTTGCAAAGACAAGTAATGTGAAAAACATGATGAACAGCAAATAGACAATCCTAACTGTGAGTTGTCTATGCTGACAGATGATGCAAGGAGAAGCAAAACACTTCTATAACACTACCAAGAGTTCATGAAGTTTATGTACAAAAAGAAACAGTGAAAACCAGTCAACAAAGCTAAGAAATATTACAGTGTCCACCCAAAATAAAAGGGAAATTCAAAAGAAAATCATTGAGTCCATAACCAGCCTTTCTGCAGGCTAGTATCGGTACCAAAGTCAGTACTGGTATCAGTGGAAATGGATATCACTGGCATGTCGGATATCAACAATACTAAATATACATCTGTTCAGGAACACGATGAGTCTGAATTTTCCACTCCACCTGGCGATTGTCCACGATTACTATTGAGCGCTATTTGCTCCCCAATATCTTCAAAATTTGCCAATAAGAATAGTCAAATCGGGTTACTTTACCTAACTTACCGGTAATCTTATACTATATTCAGAAGCGTGAATATGTTTTAGTACCACGAGGTACAAAAACGAGCAAAACAACCTTCACTAGCTTGCTATGCGACGTAGTCAATTCAGACAGCAAACTGTGTCGTATTTGTCGTATAACAAAGAGAAAATGAGTAGGCACGTTTATTTTTGTGACTTACGGTGATTAAATTGTAGTTAATGAGTCTGTACATCCAGTCTGAGACACCGTTTTGTTACAAACGTTTCCAAAAATTCATGTTTCTGCTACGAGTTAGCACAGGTACAAGCAGGACGAATTTTCCCACCTCGCAGCTACTATCTGGACGCATGCGCAGTATGCCACGAATTCAACCAAACCATTTTGAGTCGTGAGCGGCAGATTCCACACAGAATGGATTAAGATTATTTTATTATAAGAAAGTTTTAGAAGGTATGAATTAAAACAAAGACTATTTCACTCAGAATCTGTATTTTGACTTTTATTTGAGTGAGCTCGCGAAGATTAGAAATGTTAGTGTTGAATCTAGCGCAGCGAAACGTCACCTACGTCACATTGATAAACAAAATTTACCTCATTGTCAAATCCACTGTCTGACAGACTGCTCGCTAAGTTAGCGGTGTTGTTTTTTGCTGCATATCTGCATCAAGAGACAACTGCCGGGTCCGCGGGGGAGGATAAATAACGTCGGAGGCTCAAACGTACACTAGAAGTCCGGCTATCAGGCTGCAGTTACTTTTAAAAGCCGCTCACAGCTGTTCTGGGGGGCGGAGTGTCTGCAAAGTGCTGCGCCGATTGGGGCGCTCCATCGGGGGAAGAGAGATGGCGTGCTTGTTGGAGGCCCCTCTCCGCATCAGTGTGCTGTCTGTGAGTGCCACGCTTGTCTTTCTAAGTTTAATTCTCAACATTTCAGCGTGTCCATCACGAAAGAGGGCGGCTGCCGTCATTTAATAAGTCATACGGAGAAGCTAGGAGCTGCCGGACTCCGGAGGGTTTATGCCCTCTGTTAGCCTCTCAGCTAACTTAAAGGCTTTGCAACATGTAGCGCTGTTGCGTGACGATTTATCTCCCGACACTGTCCGGGCGGGCGGAGACATTCCAAAACGCGAGAGAGTGCGCTTTGAATGCACCCGCTCGGTCCGTCGGTGCGTAAATGAATTCAAATCGAACAGTCAAAGTACCTGTCAGTGTCACTCGGAATGAGTTAGCAGCTAAGTGCTAAGAGTGAGAGTACTGACATGTTTAAAGCGCTGTACAGTGCATAGCGAGATAAAATAGCTTTCTGGTGCAATTATTTTGCGTGCTAGTTCAACATTGTGCAGCTATCTGGAGTTATATGCATAAAGTAAGCTTAAATTAGCATACCCGGTAAGCTAGCGAAGCTAACATTAGTGAGTATTAGTCTACCCTATGAAGAGTTCAAATTCAGTAACAGTCAAATACTTGAAAAAACATGGATTTATTCTTATTAATGAATTACACTTGATTTGCACAGAGGTCCATTTCCACACGGATATTTAAACCCACGCTAAACCTAAAGTCTCAGCCTGTTTAACTCACTGCTGTCTCACTGTTAATGTAAGGAAATCAGACATTCAGCATATGTTTATACAGCAAGTAGAGTAACCAGGGGTTGAAAGAGTACCAAAATCTTGTGTTCAAGTAAAAGTACAGTTACTTTTAATCCATGGAGGTGTCTGTGGGGATAGGCAGAGAAAGATAAGCCCTAGAAAATTATATAACAGCATTTATTTCCAAGCTTATAGTTTAATACAACCAACAGCATTAATGTGTGAAGGGTACTGAATATTTGTTATAGTATTTCTTGCCACTGTTGCACTTAGTAGATCCTCCCTGCACACTTAGGTTATGGCTGCCCATGCTGAGGTGTAGCATGTCTCTGCAGACCTAGGGGCTGCAGATTTAAGACCACATTTCACCGCCACAAGACACCGCCTAATGCACTGAATTCATCTTCAGTGTCAAACTCTGTGTCTCAGACATGTGGTCCCATAAGTGTAGTGCTTTCTTGAAACTGCAGCCTCCAGCTCTGCAGACACACAATCTTGTTGCTTAGAAGATTACCATGTAACCATGTAACAATATAACCCTTACACACTTGCTTCCAGAAAATCTGAAAATTCAGGAGCTATCACCATCCGCACAAAAGTGTGACTGTGGACGCTTTTCTTTGTTTTGCACTCATTCAAACAATGTACCACTCTATAAATAACACAGAGTATCAATCAGTCAATCAGTGTTTATCTGTTTGGCACCAAATCACAGCATTAGGAATAGATTACACTGCTTTATTTAAAAAAAGACTGCATTGGAACGAATAGATATCTTTAACATTTTAAAAAACAAAACTTAAAACCTAGCTGGAAGCAAACAGATCATGTGATCACTTATTTATATCTTTGTTTGCAACTGTTTTCCTCCATGCATTTCTGCTATGTATGCAGTTTTTTCTGTGATGTACTGTTTGTGAATAATGTTCATTTTTATTTTGTTTAACTGTCGGGAACCACAGATGTATATGAGCTACAGTTGATGTTGTGCAGTGTCCCCAGTAATTTCAATTTATAAACTAAACCAGAGTCTTGCAAAGCCAGAGAGTATTGAAGACTGAACACCCTTTCTGTTAAAACTAGCTCAGTTAGTTTAAGGTAGTGTCTGACAATGTTTTAGTCAGACCCACAAATACACAAATCAGATGTTCTTTTTTTATAGGGCATCTTTCTATGCATAAGCAGCTCCATTGCTTTGCAAAGTGCATTGTGTGATGCACTTTTTAGCAAATGTATAAACCACACATGATAAAAAAAAAGGCAGGCTTATGCAGGTACAGACAGAATGTGCTCAACACCTTGTCAGCAGCGTGTAGACACCAGAAACCAGTGGTAGCTGCATGTCATTTGCTGGGTGAGGTTTGTCCCCCTGGGGTCATGTGGAAAGTTCTAGATGAAGCTGTGCATGATATAAACAAAGTTTCCCAGTGTTACATGTGCCAATGACAGCTTTGAAAGGGGCCTGCCATGGATGCTGATGTATGCGTCTAATAAATGTCTACAAATATCAGCTATTTATTTTAAAAGCATGTAAGGTGTCAAAATAGTTGACTTTAAAATTGCATTTTACGCTTATTTAAGCTTTTGCCACAGCGAGGAATAACCTCCCCCAGTGCAGTGAATAGTCTGACAGGCTCCTTCTTTCAGCTTTATAATCTTTGTTTTTCTTGAATTCATGCAAAAGAAAGAGCAGATATGCAGGTCAAAACCTGTTTCATCTTATTAAAAGTGGATCTCTTGGTTAAAGACAAACTTTTTATCACAATAGTGCTGGTTGAAAAATGTTTGTCAGTGAATTATGTCACTAATCTTTGTGTGATCTTTGTCCTCATTCAGGAAGTCACTGCAACTAGTCGCCATTATGTTGACAGACTGTTTGACCCCGACCCACAGAAAGTGCTGCAGGGAGTCATGTAAGTCTATCAACAGAATTTGTTTGTTGTAATTCTTTGCAAAAATGATGCAGTGTTTGATTAAATTTTGCAGCAGATGTCAGACTGTCCTTCAAGGGCTACATTTTTAGGGCAGATGCATCGACTGCTCCAATTTTCAGCTGCCTGGAAGAGTCTGGATCTCATTCAGCCACTATGATGCAGCACAGAGGGTGTATACTTTCTCTCTTTTTTAAAAATATGTATTTCAGTGATTTCTGTGCTGAAATGTCCAAACTCCTGCAGCAATTGTCTTTCATAATCTTTTGAATAAATTTGCAAATCAAAGTCCTTCTCTAGAATATCATGTATTGTGCAGGAAACAGCGCAAGTGTTGTTGTTGCAGATTGAGCATGATCTCTGTGTTTACATGCCCGCTCTGTTTGGATATATTTCACTCCTCAGTGTGACTTCATATCTTCGTTACACTCTCGAACTCTCACTCTCTGTTTCGCTGTGGTGACCTGCACTTGGACTGTTACACTGTTATTTTTAACCTGGGAAGAGTCTAGCTCTGGTTACGGCTTGTACCGCTCCACCTGACTGAGTTGACGGCCTGCTCCAGCTGTACTTTTCCACTCGCTCCACTCACCTGCCATTTGATATCACGCAGGGCAGCAGAGAACACAGCACTGAAAGGAGAATGAGTGAATACAAATGAACAGACTCGTTTGTGTGGCACAGCTGCTCAGTGTCTGTGTAACTTCTGATGTAGCTGGTGGCCTTTGCTGTGCTGCAGACTGCCTCTATAATCTCTGAGCAGTCTGATATCTGTGTGATGAACTGTTTTATCAAAGAGAAACTCAGGGCGAAATGCCTCTAGAATAAAACATAACATGCCATCACTAAGGCATGTTTAGTTGACCTGTTTTAGAAGTGTATGGACAGTCGTTTCTGCCATTGCAGCCTGCAGCGTTATGCTTACTGCTCTGTAGATCATACTGTACTCTGATCTTTCTTAACGTTACATCTTGTGCTTTTGTACAAACATATAGCCACTGAAAAGGACAAAGCTTTTACTTCATTGCTTGTAAGAATTCTGAAAAAGTCTTCCAAGCAAATTCTTTCGATGATGTTGTTTATTTTTGCCTTTTCATTTTGTCACATCATTGAATAAAAAGTGCCTTTGTAACTCTTTTTTTTCAGTTGCATTAACTGTTTCTCTGTGTCTCTCTGTAGTGACATGAAGAATGCCGTCATCGGAAACAACAAGCAGAAAGCCAATCTGATCGTCCTTGGAGCCGTGCCGAGGTGGGTATCTGCACAGATTTCTTGTCTGTCTTTCGGTCATTCCTTCTCCAAACACTCTGATTGTACAAATTTTAAGTGACATTACAAAGACAACACAGGTCGAACATTGTGTGCTGTCATTCAGTCTAATAATCCAAAAACACAACATCAAGAAGGTGTCACTAATAACATCACTACAAAACTGATGGAGGAAATTTGTGCAAATTCTAACCTTATCATTATTCCTCAAGACTTTTTCTCGTGCCACTTACCTTTATTTTGCAGACGTACACATAAAAAAGGCCAAATGCTGTTCTCCCACCGGCAGTGGTGTAATAGAAAAGAGCAAATGCAGAAATATATCTAAAATAACTTTACTAAAAAATAAAACCAGAGTCAGTAGTATAAACCACACTGAAGTCTTTGGGTTGAAACTAGGCAGATCAGGAGAATCTGTTGCTCTCTAGGGTGTAGGTTTGCTGGCTTCTTCAGCTGGGATGTCTTAACTCGAACTACCAACAGAGAAAACAGAGAAAACATCAAACAAATATGTGACCAAAAAATTGCATGCATTCAATCTTGGTGCATGTAGACTCTGAGAGAAAGGCTCTGCATGTAGAAGAACCAACTAATTTGCCAGGAGAGCATCAACACTGATTTGACATCCATTTAAAATACAGAAAATTATCCTTAAACCAAACTTCACTTCATATCCTCACTGATGCGTAACATTTGGGATGACTGAGTTCTCTGTACAGTGTGTATATGTGTTTTTTTTTTTGTTCCAGGTTACTGTACCTGCTCCAGCAGAGCTCATCCAGTCTGGAGCTGCGGACAGAGTGTGCTGTGGTGCTGGGCAGCCTGGCCATGGGCACTGAAAACAACATCAAGTCCCTGGTGGACTGTCACATCATCCCTGCCCTTCTTCAAGGTTGGAGGCACACACACTCAAACACACACTACCACACATTAATACATGCGAATACTCACTGCCGAGAGCACCAACTGGGGGGTACTAAAAAGTTTGGAACACCTGTGCTTCTCCCCTCAGGTCTCCTGTGTCCAGATCTGATCTTCATTGAAGCTTGTCTTCGATGTCTCAGAACGGTCTTCATCAGTCCGGTCACCCCTGTGCAGCTGCTTTATACTGTAGGTTGTCATGTGTATGTTTTTGCCTGTGATACATAAACACCAGTATCATTTTCTAAAGAGCAAACAGAAATTAGTTTAATATGCTGTTTTATTCTTACAAAATTGAATGTAGTCGCATCAAAAACATCAATCCACGCACTTTCCTAACATGAGAAATTAGTTTAAGGTTAAATTAATCCCTAAAAACAAAAATATTTAACTTTATTTAATGACACATCTATGAAGAACCTCGTATACTAACTTATAAATAACTAGAGCAAAAGCAGGTGAGGTTTTTGACAGCAGAGGGGTACACCACAAAGCAGGATATGCTGTGATCAGGGTGACTTCAGGGTTAACTCTGGGTTTTCAGTGCTACGCAGATGCTTCACTTCTCACCACAGCAGATCACCATGGTAACTGATGCTGAACACCTAATCTACTCCAGAGCAGGTTATAATCAGGGCAAGAGATCAGTACCAAAGATATATGTACATCTGCTGCATCATACCGACACAGGGCTCACCCGTTGACTTACAGCCTGCGTGATGGTCTCCGATTTATTGTTGTGTAAATGTCTGTTCAGGTCTCATCTCGTAAAATAATGTCATATATTTGAAATTGTGAGTCAACCTCTTATTATGTCTCTGCTTAAAAGGGAAAAAGGAAATCTAACTCCTCATTTTGAAGTTAAATCTGTGTATGCACCTCCTCAGGACCCCACTGTGATTCCCCATTTAATGTCTCTACTAAGTCGCTCACAGAGAACCCAGGAGTACATCACTCAGATCTTCTCCCACTGTTGTAAGGTATTTGTTGTGTTTTTGGTGCTCACATGCCGTTGAGTCATTCCTATTTATAACCAAACATGAGCTCAGTGCTGATTGGACGTTTGTTTTCTTTAGACGCCAGAGCACCAGACGGTTCTTTTCAACCACGGTGCCATCCAAAACATCGCCCCTCTTCTTATCTCACCCTCTTATAAGGTAAATATGAGTCCATTTGCACACATAATACTCTATTTCTTTCCCTTATAACCTCTCTGTGTCTTCAGGTCCGGATGCAGGCATTAAAGTGTTTCTCAGTCCTGGCCTATGAGAACTCTCAGGTCTCCATGACACTGGTGAATGGTGAGGAAATAATCTCTCTCTCTTTATGATATCTCTTCTTCTTTCTTTCTTTTGAACCTCAGGTTATCTGTGTTTGTCTTTCAGTGCTGGTGGATGGCGAGCTGCTCTCTCAGGTATTCGTCAGAATGATGCAAAGGGATCAACCCATCGAAATGCAGCTAACAGCAGCCAAATGGTGGGTTACATTAGCGTGCAGTGATTAATGATAATATCTTCCCTGGACATTTTCCAAACCTTTCCTGTTTTCTGTTGCAGTTTAACATACATGTGTCGAGCGGGTGCCATCAGGACAGATGACAGCTGCATAGTACTAAAGGTCCGATTTACTTAAACCTCTTTTATCTTGAGGGTTATTTTAACAGCTCGCCTTACCCTTTATTCTCTGTGATCTTTCGTTTCTTTCTTTCTAGACCTTGCCGTGCCTCGTGCGGATGTGCAGTAAAGAGCATTTACTGGAGGAAAGGGTTGAGGGCGCAGAGACACTCGCTTATCTGATGGAGCCCGACGTGGAGCTGCAGAGAATCGCGAGCACCACGGACCACCTGGTGGCGATGCTGGCCGACTATTTCAAATATCCCAGCTCTGTGTCGGCCATCACTGACATCAAGAGGGTGAGTTGAGTGATGCCTGTAAAATAAATGAAGGGCTGTGACAATAACTATTAAACTGTGTTTTCTTCCCTTGAAATCTCCATCTGCTATATTTTATTAACATTACTACAGATACATCCTGGTCCTGATACTCAAACAGCTTAAACCAGGTTTTAAAAAGTCCTTTAGCAACATGGCAAACATCAACAGTGCAGAAAGTGCCTCAAAGCAGCTGAGAAGAACCCAAGCTGCTCCTAAAACCACAGCACGGAGCACAGACCAAACTCTGTTACTTATTTAATGTGAGGGACAGAATCAGTCAGCACTTAGACGAGACAGAGTGACTGCAGAGAAGGGTTATTTCTCATGTCTCCTCGACACTGACCAGAAGTTTACAAGAAGTTGATCATCATTTTGCTTTTAAAAATAAATGGGAAAAAAACAAAATTTATCTGAAGGTGGTGATTATTTTAATAGTTTTTTAGGCAATTAGTCAAAAAAAAAAAAAGGATTTTGAAATTTTTATGAAAGTCAAAGAATCCGTGTGACAGTCATAAATTTGTGGGGCAGGTTTCATGGCATTAATTTCCCAAAAAGCTCAAATGTCAGCCTGATTGTGAGGCACGATAAAATGTCAAGTCTAATCCTCTTGGGGTTATAAATGTTTGTACAAAATATCCCACAGTTTTTGAAAGATTTCACTCTGAAACAAACTAATGCACCCACAAACAATTAAAATCCCCAGAGCAATCACTGCAATGATGCAGACATAATTAATTTTCTTAATGAGCCAATTAGAGACTATTATTTATGAGATTGTATAATTTTTGGAAGACGTCCAGACAGCATGTTGACATCTTTATTATGTTTTTGTAATGACTGTTTCTGTATGTAGTTATTTGCTTCTTTTGTCTTCTGACTGAAAAATATTGCTGTAAATTTATCAAAATATATTATTGAGGATTTTTCTAGCTTACATGTTGAAATCAGGTCTGAGGTCATTTCCTGTCTTGTCTGTCTTCTACAGCTGGATCACGACCTGAAACACGCACACGAACTGAGACAAGCTGCTTTTAAACTTTATGCCTCGCTCGGCTCCAACGATGAGGACATCAGAAAAAAGGTGACCTCTCTTTTTTCTTGTATTTATTTTTTAATATAAATGTGCACCTGTTTTTATTTTTTGTGATCCATCCTCTTGTTTGTTTTTCTTCCTCAGATCACAGAGACAGAAAACATGATGGACAGGATAGTCAGCGGCCTGTCGGAGTCCAGCATTAAAGTCCGTTTGGCTGCTGTCCGGTACGTTGCAAAGAGAGCCACTCTGACGTTTTATCCTGAAAAAAACCCAAAATAGTTTCTTCAGAATTAGATGAAGAAAATTAAGAAACTTTTAACTTAAACAATGGTGCAATGTCTCCCTGTTTCCCTAAATCAAAAGATGCCAAAGTATTGTGAAGTAATTTTTGTTAAAACAAAACAAAAAAGTCACATTTAAAAGATAAAAAGAACTTTGATTATATTTCTTTTAAATCTTATCCAGCTTAGACTAAACTCTTTTCTTTGTGTCATTCCTACTACATATTTATTTAAAACACACAAAAACGACTTTTAGGAAAAGATTTTTATATAATAGTTCTTGTTAAAAAAGTTTTAAATAGTTTAGTTTATCGGTTTAGACTTCTGTGTACAAATAACACAGATGACCAAACAAATAGACAATAATAGATGTCATATAGTTGTACAAATGTTCTAGATACTCTCTGATACATAACATTAGTCTCCAAACAGGAGAAGAAGTCCCTATTATTCACCTGGTAATCTCCACAGCTCTCATGTTGTCCTTTTACTTTCACTGTAGGTGTCTCCACAGTCTTTCCCGGTCGGTTCAGCAGCTGAGGACCAGCTTCCATGACCACGCGGTGTGGAAACCCCTCATGAAGGTGAGCGGAGGCTTAGTGAAGTTTTACAGAGTGTGTTTGGCAGAGAATTTCCCATTTTCCCTGTAGAAGAAGACAAAACATTTAAACAAATAGGCAACACGTTTCAGGTCTTATTTTGAATGAGTGAAACAAACACTGAGTGATAATTTGTGTTTTTGATTGTAGCTGCTGCAGAACGCTCCAGATGAAGTCCTGGTTATGGCTTCTTCTACACTATGCAATCTACTGCTGGAGTTCTCTCCCAGCAAAGAGGTACACAGATACACACACAGACACACACACACACAAATTCACCTGAAAAAGAAAAGAGGTTCTCTTACTTAAATGAAGGGAACTTTTGTTTCTGTGTCTCTGCAGCCCATCCTGGAGTCCGGGGTGATTGAGTTACTATGCAGTCTGACCCAGAGTGACAGTCCAGCTCTGAGGGTCAACGGAATCTGGGCCCTGATGGTACACTTATTTAGCTCTTCTCCAGGTCTCTGAATTTGCACTTTCCAGGGCTGGAGATGCCTGTACGTAACGAAACCTTTCTTTATATTCTCCTCGGTGCGTGTTTGTGTGTCTGTGTCCAGAATATGGCGTTCCAGGCCGATCAGAAGGTGAAGGTGGAGATCGTTCGGTGTTTGGGTACAGAACAGTTATTCCGCCTGCTGTCAGACCCCGACACCAATGTGCTGATGAAGACGCTCGGCTTGTTGAGGAATCTGCTGTCAACACGCCCGGTAAGAGACACGCACATGCAGAAAGGATGACAGGAGACAGACAGTGTTGCATACATACCAGTAATGTTCCAGTCATGGTGTGTTTTCACCAAGTGGTCCAGTTTAATACAGTCCAAACCCTGATCTTGATTGCATTTTCATTCCTGAGTTTACCTAGGAGCTTTAAACAGTGTTTTCATTTGGAAGTCATTGTTCAGGACAGATATTTTGTAAATGAAGCAGCTTGCATAGATCTTTTTTGAGCCTACAGTGAACTCTAAAATACTAGAATCCCTACCTTGTTAGTCGGCATAAATCTGCAGGTAATTTATGCTAATATTGAAATACAATTAGATAACAGGATTTCTTTCTCTTTTATGATCTCCCCCTCTCTCTTGAATCTTTCTCTCCCTCTCATGCAACAAACAACAGTCAAAGAAAGTCATAACCAACCTTTAGTATTGATAAATGAATCAGACATGCACCCTAATCGTGGACAGAATAAAGGGCTCGTAGCTTCATCCAGAACATCTCCATGAAAAACATTTTAGCCTGAGCAAAACAAAAGAAGCAGCACCTGCAGGGCTGAAGGAGCAGCCTTTTAGGTCTATAAATAGTCTGTGTTGGTTCGCAGGTTGCTCCTTTAACAGCTCGGCTCTGCGGTCAGCTGTCCCACGAGGGTTTTAATGGCATGTTGCAGAAAAGTTTCAGCGGTAACCTTGAGCGCTCCACACTTTCTGACCTTCTCCGTGGATATTAATTCACTGCCTTTGCATGTGCTGAATTTGCATAAATTCTGCAGATATCCTGAATCCCAGCCTGCATACTGATTCTCTCCTGCTCTCCTCCCTCGTGTTGTCAGCACATTGACAAGATCATGAGCTCTCATGGGAAGCAGATCATGCAGGCGGTGACCCTCATCCTAGAGGCAGAGCACAGTATAGAGGTCAAGGAGCAGGTGAGACTTCTCCCTCTTTTTTTCGTGCTTACAGATGTGGTTTCATGCAGAATTCATTGTCCGTCTGCAGAGCAGTGGAGTTTAACATTCTGCAGATATGATGCAGGTCGGTCCGCAGTGATGTTGTGGTGTTTTGCAGAGCTGGAAACACATCCGAGAAAGTTTTTCAAATAAATTATTATTAAATTATAAAAATAACAACAGTGACGCAACTTACTGATCTCCTCCGCCAGACTCTGTGCATCCTTGCCAACATCGCTGACGGCAACACAGCAAAGGAACTCATCATGACCAATGACGACATGCTCCAGAAAATCAAATACTACATGGTACAGATTTGTTTTTTTTTAACCTCCCGAGGTTAAGCTGTTTCTTTTTCTTAGTGAAAGAAATGCACAGTGGTGGAACAGCTAGAATTGTTGATATGCTTCTCCTTGTTTTTCAACATGTGTCTATACAGTAAACTGATCACCAGTTCTCATAGAAAGCAGGAGCTGTTATATGCTGTCTTAACTAAAAAAAAAAAAAGTCTATTTTAATACTTACACGTACCTTGAGAATATGTGAGCTTCTCTTTTCTTCTGTTTTTCCTTGCTTCTAATTTTCTCCCTCTTGTTGTTCCTGCAGGGGCATTCGAATGTGAAACTGCAGCTTGCTGCCACCTTCTGCATCTCTAACCTTATCTGGAATGAGGAGGACGGTAAGAGACACAACACATGAGTGAAAAGGAGTGAGAAAGAAAGGGGGGCAGGTTGAAGGTTGAGAAGTTTGTAGAAAACATCATGTCAAAATCTTGACATGTCTGCATACTTGTCACTGGTGACAGCTGTTGAGGATTGTTTCCCAGAAAAGAGCAAACCCAGAGACCTGGTGCATCAACCCCTGACTGAGTGTCTGTTCTGGGTGCAACACCTGTAGTCAGCTGGTTTGCACAAAAACATGCTTTAAGACCTCCCTGATAGATGAATGTCATTTAAAATCACATGTCGTTTATCTCTACTTGATAGAAAACAGATCATTACAGTTGAACATGTTGTCTTTTTATATGAAAGACCTTTTAAAGACTGAAGTTCTGAAGTAATTTGCATTGTCATTGTCTCTGAAACTCTAACCGAACAGAGCTGTTCTCATGTGCAGCGGTTTGCATTACCTGCAGGAATCAAAACTGTTATTTTAGATGGGTTTGCATGTTAGTATATCATTAGTTCCAGCAACAGTACCTTTTGTTTTGCATAAGAATCAAATAATCTAAAGCCTAAGTGAGGAACCCAGAACACCTGATCTTATTTGTTAAAGCAAGTATGAATGACTGCGTGTTTTTCCTCACATCTGTTGTGTGTGTTCAGGTTCTCAAGAGCGTCAGGACAAGCTGAGAGAGATGGGCTTCGTGGACATCCTGCACAAACTCACCCAGGCCTCAGATCCAAACCTCAGTGACAGGTACGTCAGAGTAAAGTCTCATAAAACACTCGGATCATGAATTATCTGAACACAGTGGGTGGACTGATTGTGTCTGTCTCTCTCTCTTAGGGCGAAGACAGCGATGCAGCAGTACCTAGCGTGACTATGGGGGACTAAGACCCCGTACTGCCAGCCTCACTAACAATCGTGGGGAGGACTCCTGCTGTCGGTCCTTTTGTTTCTCATTTTGTTGCACAAAGACACCTTTTATTCTTTGGACCTGTGGCTGTCCTCCCTCCACCTCCCTCCCTCCTCCGACTTCCACTTCAACAGTTCTGCTCACGCCAGACCTCCGTCTTGGAGACTCTGAGATCACGGTTGTTGGAAAATCAATGGTTAGGAGGGGTTCACTTATTTTCCTTTTCAACAATGAAGTGATTTTTTTTTTTTTCCTTTGGGACGTTGTGATTTGAAATCTTTCTTTTTTTTTCCTTTATTTTTGGAGTGCAGCTGCTTGAAAACCAGCACCGCTGTCTCGATGCTTTTGGACTCGTGATGGAGGAGATTCTGGGTTTGACTCATGAGCAGGGCTGTTGGACAGTTCCCAGTTTTATTTTTTTAATTCTTAATTAATATTACTATTAATATTTCCTTAAGGCATCACAAGCAAGGACACATTTGGAGAAAAAAACAGACTGCCTATTTTGAAATTTTGGGTGTTTCTTTTTTGTGGATACATACCTCGTAAATATATAAATATATATAAATATAAACATAAATATATATTTTTGGATTCTTATTTTTCCCCTCGAACCTCTGTTTGTTTAACTCACTCTCTGTGAACCATGTTTCTCTGCACAGCTGGAGAAATCCACAGCAGTCTGACTCACGGTCTGTGGAGGTGAATTAGGATAAGAAATGTTATTCTCCTGTTTAGTTCTCTTCACCGTTGTGGTTCTGCGTGCACTGGAGCCTTCACTTCACTCCTGTTCAACATCCTTATGATCCCAATGGGAAATGTAGTCTCAGAGTGCTGACTCTGACCCGCCCGGTTACTAATTAACAGGCATGAGTACACAGAAAACCACAGATAAGAGGATGCATGTGTTCTCACACCTCGTTTGAATCATATCTGCTGCTGTTCCTGCACTCTCTGCAGCCCCCTCCTCTTCTTGCTTCGCGTCTAAAGGGATAGATAATGAAAGCCTCTGTGTTTCTTTACTCAATGCATTTTAGGAAACAAGCAAAAACAGAGTGAGCTGCATAGGAAATAAAGGAGAACAATGTGAGACCGGCCCCTGGAGGCTGAGGCACTGAGTGCATCCACAGCAGCAGAGTCAAGCACTAAGTTTTGTTTCCATCCCTCTAATATTTTCTTCTCTCATCGGGATATTTCTAGAGTGTTGTTCCCTGACATTTCACACCTTACTGAAACTCTGATAGAATGAATGTTACCATTGAAAATATATGCAGACCTGAAGAAGGGTTTCATCTGTGTCGTGTCTTATTTATCCTCAAAGGCTACAAACTGGTCGTACTTATGTTTAGAGGACGTGTTTAGACTGCTAAACACTGGGTCGAAATGTCTGGGTCGGCCTCTTTGTTGGGAACCAGCCAGAGAACTAGAGCGAAGCTGCAGACGGGGTCAACTCTTCCACATAATCTAGCTTAATTCAACAAACTCCAACCTAAACACTTTTCGGTGCAGGTCGTACTCTATTTGGGAATTTTTCAGCGCTCTGCATTGCTGTCAGGCAGACTGTTAGTAATTACCTGTGGATTGCTAACATTGTGGAGTTTGGTATCGAAAATGTCAAATTGGGATGCAGAAATTTTAAACGTTTAAAGTCACATGAGTGTAGAGTTTGTGGTTTCAGTTTTGATCCTGTGGACTGTGGGTTGAGTTGTTATGCTGTAAAAAATACAGAGAGCTAAACACTTACTCCGAAGACGCTCTTCCATTCATCTTTTCTGGTTTTCTGGTTGAACTTGTGAAAACTGAAGAAAGTGGAGAGGGCAGGAACTGGCTAGTGCGTGATGCAGACTGCAGCTGCATGTGAGGTGCTGGTTACCTTTGATTCAGAGAGATCCAGAGTTGCTGTCATTAGCAAGTTTAAACATCGTACTACCAAGTAACACAGGATATCTCTATTCGGGATCATCAAGTCTCGTTCTTTTGTAGACTCTGGTTGATAAAGGTGTCTTCTCGTGTCATCATCACTGTCAGAAGGACTCCTTTTTTTAGTGTGGATGGATTTTCATCTCTCCTGAAGCCTGCAGACCCAAACAGCTGATCAGTCAAAGAACATTTATGCGTTGAAGCCAAGAATTGGCCACAAACAGACATTTTAAGAGGATACACTTACACTGAGAGGTTGGTAGCTTAGCTCTCACTCAGTTGTCTGACCAGACGGACCTGGCTTGCCTTGTGGCTGGTACACTGTCAATTGACAAGTACCTCATACAGCACCTCTAAGAAAATAAAAACAGTCCTTTGACATTTTTCAAGCATAATTTAACATGTTTTAAGAAGGATGTTGATTTCTAAAGGCGTTCTTATTGAATCCGAAGCCAGAAACAACATGACAGTGCTGTAAGATACACTTAAAAGTTAGTCATCAGTTATTTGTAAATGCAAAAATTATAATTTTTTTTAACAAATGCTTTAAAAAAACATTCAATTTTCTTTAAGTTGTGAACAAAGTTCCTGCAGTGTACTGTCTTTATCTGATGTGACATCTACTTACCTCCACCTACATGCTCCAAAATGTACAATGTAGACGGGTTCTGCTCTTGAAGGTTGTAAAAAGACATGACTGCAAATTTCAGTGTGTTTCATAGCTGGTTAACAACTTCTCAATAGGGATTGAAAGCAAGATTTTGGCATTTTAATCCTGGATGTCTTCTTAAACAAACAAAGCAGACATTTACCCTCTGAATATAAATAAGAACTTTTAGTGGTTGTACTTTGATCGAAAACGTTTTCCCTCAAAGGATTGTTTTACAGCAGTTTCCAAATGTTTTTGCTCTTTTCTCTTTGCACATTCAAGTCAAAGACAAATGTCAGCTTATTGCATTCATAAAATATCTTCTTTTCTATTCTAAAAGGATTTGGACATCTTTTCAAGAACAACCATGGCACATAGAAGAGCAAACATTTCCCCAGAGTAGCACAAGAGTCTTGAGATCTTATAAAACAACACTTCTTTATTGTTTTACAGTATGTAATCCTGGTAAAGTTTTATGTAACAGCAGTCATTATTAAAACATGTCCCATTCCCAGCAGCCTCCGAAAGAGCGAGCGGTTTGTCTCATCCCAAAGCAGAGTCTGGCCTTCACAGCTCAAAAGCAGGCACATTCCTCATGCAAAAAAAGCTGTGACATGCATTTGAGTCAAATCCCTTTTTTTTAAAAATGCAAGTATCCCCACTCGACCACCCAAGAGTAACCAGCAAGATCAGGGCTCCACAGGCGTCACCAGGAGATCTGCTCACCGAAACGTTTGGTGTGTAAAGAGTCCAGGTAGTCCCGTTACAGAAAATAGAAAGCAGAAATCTGATCGTCTATATTACAGGAAACGTGATGCACAAAGCACCTCATCAAAGAAAAATAAATGTACAGAAGTCCTGAGACCTCCAAAGTGAAGAAGCCTGGGTATTGTAGTTTCCGGGTTAGGCTGTAGTCTCGTACCAGCATAAAGCTCAGTGTTTGGCGAAGGGACCGGAGAAGATGTGAGAAAAATGTGTGTGTTCAAAATATGCTTTATATGTTTGTGCTACATAAGAACTGGGAGAGTTTTACTCAGACCGGAGTGCATCCTGTTCTTAAAGCCACTTTTCCACCAAACGAACCAGGGACTGTTTAGTCCCAGGAACTGATCCTAAAGAAGCTAAAAGGTTCCTTATTAGAAAAGACTAGAGCCCAGTCCGCATCACTGGTCTATCTGTCAATTTCTAAATCTGCAAACTGTCAAAGAACAAACCAGAAAAATTCAAAAGTAAATTGGACCCCTGTCAGGCTGAACTTTTTACACGTAGATGGCAGATTCTACAGCGCTATGTTAAAACTGTGGCTTAATCCGAGCTTTACAAGTACCAAAATAATGTGCAGCTTTGCAGTCGAAGGGGATGACATTGGACCTTGAACTATAGTGAAGTCCTGTTCATGACATGACGTTTAACGTAGTTCCTTAAATGGTTCCCACTGAATATTCCTGTGGCTGCAGGTTCTAAAAATTGTTCCTTGGATAAAGTTCCTCATACATAAGGAAACACATGCTACACCACACCCTTTTGTGGCAGAAATAGTCTTTAAACTTCATTCAAATGTAGTTCCTGCAGTAAGAAATTCATCTGTTTCTTAAAAGGTTCCTGGTCCATTTATGCAGCTGTTTTTTAAGATTGATAAAATAATGTTCTGCATGTATTAAAATTGAACTTAAGGATAAAACATGTTTGAGGGAAAAATAATCCTGGCACAGAAAAAAAAGGTTCCTGAAACTCACTTAGTTCCTTTTAAAGGTCCTAGTCTCATATTTATGTCTGCGGAGTTTCAGAATTTTGAAGGAAAGAAAGTTTTACATGGACCAGAAAGAACTGCTGGTGCTATACCTGCTTGAAGTTGACATAAAGCCTCTCGGACAAAATTTAGTACAATGACAGTCGTAAAAAGGTTCTTTGTATCAGATCCTGTGGTTTTAAGTGTCAAAAAGATGGCTGAATGGTCAATCTATGAGTATAAAAAAAACATTTGGTGCTTTTTTTAGGTGAAAATAATCCCATAAGAACTGAATTTGGCACTTGATTCCTGCAGTGTGAATCCACATAGTTCTCTAGAGGTTCCTCCTTGCTCTTTTTGAGGTGGAAACGTGGCTTTATGACAGTAAACCTCCCTCCCATTAGCCTGTTCCTGACAAATGTCTCTGACATGCAAAATAACTTCTCATCGTTTTCAAAATAAACTACACAGCCTAAATAAATAGATAAATATATAATTTAGCTAAAAGGTGCACATGTCGGATGGCTTTCTGTTTAAAGTTTTTATCCAAATGCTTTCCTGCAGGTAACAGGTGAGGACTGTGGTGAAGTTTCATGTCTTAATGCGGAGAAGGCACGAATGGCTGGATGGCTAAAGCTCAGGAGTGATGTGGGAGTTCTTGCTATACAATCTGATTGGCTGGCTGTAAACAGATAAATATGATATACTAGATGGACGTGATCATGATTTTAGAGGTTGCCCCGGGCTTTTCTTGCTCTTGTCTTTGGCACACGTACCAGTGGCTAACTCAGACATTGAAGCTCTTCTCCATCGTCTCATTACAGGGACAGAAAAAAAGGGCAGGATGAGTTTGAGCGAGTTAATGACTGAAGAGATGACCTGATGTCAGTTGAGCGTTTACCTCCAGCACACAGGTGGATTTCCCTTTTAAAATAACAGTAATCCCATGATGAAGCCTTCCAGGTGAGGTGACTTGATGCGACAGAGACCAAATGACGAGTTTACATTCCCAGTCTGAGAGCAGCATCTCAAACTCTCTGACTTCAGCTCAGATATGTATGTTCGTACCTGCACTCTGGAGAGGAGGAGGCAAATCCATATTGGCTTTAAAATCAACGTTTTGAGGAGCTAAATTTGTCTCCACAGCTGAAATGAAACCAGTTTAAAAGACGTTTCCCGGTCCTGTAGTTCCTCGTAGCTGCAGAACGACTGATGCTACTGAAGAGTTGATGCTGTGTGCTGCTGTAGCTCTGACGGATCACTGAAGGTAAACACACCTTCATGCTGATTTGCTGGCAGCTTGCGTCCAGTCACGGCCTCACAGGTGCATTTCTGTTTCTCCTTTTTGTTCCAGCTGAGTTTCCGTTTCATGCAGACGATCTTCTCCTTATCCCGATCTCTGATTCTTCTATCCCCTTCTTCTATCCGCTCAGTTAACTCACTCATAACCCCGGTTCCTCTTCATCAATGAAGCTGATGTTCTCCGTGGAGGATCCCCTTTCCTCCGCTGGCCTCCCCCACTCCTGCATCTCCACCTCCTGCGGGGGAGTTACAGGTTTTGCCTCCCTGTGGCGCAGCTGAGACTTGCACCAAGGTGGAGTCTGGGTTTCTCCCTGGCCCCTCTTCATAGAGTCCAAAGACACAGGCAGAGACTGGGTGGAAGGGTGAGACAGAGGGGAGATGAGGGGAATGGATGTGGACGGCCTCAGGCGAAAGTCTCCAGGGGAGGATGTGAGAGACGGAGGAGCTGAGCAATGGGAGGACAAGGGAGGGGGAGGTGGGGTATCCTGGGAGGGAGGTGGAGGTAGGACGCCTCCTCGGCTGGTGCAGCTGCCAGGTCGGGACAGGTGGGGGCCTTGACAGGGGGACAGGGATGAGGAGGAGGACAGAGACATGGAGAAGGAGAGAGATGGTGAAGGAGTGTGGGAAACCAGAGGGAGCTGCTCCTGCATGGGGGGCTGAAACACCCCGTTACTGGGGGAGGTGTGGGTGCTTCTGGGGACCTGGGATCCCTCAGGTAGTCTGTCCTCGGGTGGGGAAAAGTTGGAGGTGAGGCTGTGAGGTTTGGAAGAGGGCTGAGGGGGCGGTGAAGGAGAAGAAGAGTTAGGCCTTTGTGGTGCATGAGGAGTGGGCAGAAGACATCCTGGCAGATCCACCCCCTCCAAATCCCCGCTGTCCAATAAGGAGTGAGTGTCCGGTCTCTGCAGGGAGCAGGGTGTGACAGGAGGTGGCACCATGAGGCAGGTGCTCTGACTGGCACTGCTGGGAGGCGGGGTTAAATTTGGCATCATGGTTGCCAGGATTGGCTGCGGCGGGGATGGTTGGAGGAGGGGCTTGAGCAGGCGTGTCATTTCCTGCAGCTCCTGGCTGAGCGTGGAGACTTGTTTGGAGAGACTGTTCATCTGTGTGTGTGAGAGAGAGAGATACAGGGTCAACACACAAACACACACACACACACACACACACACAGATACACACCTGATAACAAGATGAAGGTCAGTGCATGCAAATAGGATATTGACTTTTTTACTCTCTGGGGGCTAAGGGATGGATTAAAGCGCACACACTAATATCTAACAAAGCTGATCTTTATTTGTGCAGAGCAAAATCCAACAGGGGGTGACTGCATGCAAATGAGCATTGCATACATCGAACCTGAAATGTGCTGATCCAAATAATAAAACAGTTTTACTTTCAACCCTCTGAGCATTTTTTGGTCTAAAAGAGGTTTAATAGACGTCTAAATGTAGTCTAGATGACTGGTCTAAAATCAGACTACCACAGATCTAAAAATGAAAGTTTTCAGACGTCTAAATTTAGACCAAGTTTAGACTAGCCAGCTAACAGAGGTCTACCAGTATTTTGCTCAACGGCTATCATAGTTA